TAAGCACGGATATAATTTTCTACACCATGGCAAACGCACCTGGAGGATAAAACAATAATGTAATGTGCAAGAAAGTCACACTGCAATGCAAAAATAGAGACAACTTTACAACAAACAAAAATTTTCTAAGTCATGCAAATAGAAAATGCCAAAGATGTAGCAATGCTCCAGTAACACCGGCATTGCGAGTGATGTGACATTTTCTGTTCTAAAAGGGAGACGAGGCTTAGTTGGTCTCGGCACGTGTTGAGAATAAACAAAAGAAGATTCAACGAGAAGGGCTACGGAGATTTGATTTTTTTTTATTTAACCAGGTAAGACCCACTGAGCTGTGTTGCTATATTTCAGAAGCGACCTGACGACAAACGGTAGCTCAACGCAGTGGCTTATCACGTGGATATTTATAGCAGCCAAATACTCTAAACACATGTTGATTCTAAATATGGAGGAAAAAAAATCGGAGGACTCGGAAACAAAAATCCACGCCACCAAGGGGAGAGGACACGCAAACTCCAAATATACAGCAGGCGTCAAGGTCGGGATCGCATCCGTGACCTCCTGTGTATCGGGCGAGGCAGTTAACATCTCGCCACCGTGGGGATGCCACCGTGCAGGGCAGGAGGAGCAGAGGGAGACCAAGGGCGAGACGATGGGAGGACGTGGTGGAGTGAGATAAGAGAACAGTGAATGCAACTGCAGTAGCTGGACGGAGAAAGAAAATCCGAGCAGCCGACCCGATGCCAATAATTGGTCTTCTGGCTTGGAAGAAGCCACGTCTAAGAGGCTCGATGTAGGTTTATGTAAGCGTCGAGGTTTCAATGCAAATATATATGGTCTCTCATGAATATATGTATGTATTCATATGTGGGTCTCAATGTAAGTCTATGGATCATGTAAGTGTATGTAAGTCTATGGGTGTCAATGTAAGTCTATGGATCATGTAAGTGTATGTAAGTCTATGGGTCTCAATGTAAGTCTATGAGTCTCAATGTAAGTCTATGGATCATGTAAGTGTATGCCAGTCTATGGGTCCCAATGTAAGTCTATGGATCATGTAAGTGTATGCCAGTCTATGGGTCTCAATGTAAGTCTATGGATCATGTAAGTGTATGTAAGTCTATGGGTCTCAATGTAAGTCTATGAGTCTCAATGTAAGTCTATGGATCATGTAAGTGTATGCCAGTCTATGGGTCCCAATGTAAGTCTATGGATCATGTAAGTGTATGTAAGTCTATGGGTCTCAATGTAAGTCTATGGGTCTCAATGTAAGTCTATGGATCATGTAAGTGTATGTAAGTCTATGCGTCTCAATGTAAGTCTATGGATCATGTAAGTGTATGTAAGTCTATGGGTCTCAATGTAAGTCTATGGGTCATGTAAGTGTATGTAAGCCTATGGGTCTCAATGCAAGTCTATGGATCATGTAAGTGTATGTAAGTCTATGGGTCTCAATGTAAGTCTATGGATCATGTAAGTGTATGTAAGTCTATGGGTCTCAATGTAAGTCTATGGATCATGTAAGTCTATGTAAGTCTATGGGTCTCAATGTAAGTCTATGGGTCATGTAAGTGTATGTAAGTCTATGGGTCTCAATGTAAGTCTATGGATCATGTAAGTGTATGTCAGTCTGTGGGTCTCAATGCAAGTCTGTGGATCATGTAAGTGTATGTAAGTCTATGGATCTCAATGTAAGTCTATGGGTCATGTAAGTGTATGTAAGTCTGTGGGTCTTAATGTAAGTCTATGGATCATGTAAGTGTATGCCAGTCTATGGGTCTCAATGTAAGTCTATGGATCATGTAAGTGTATGTAAGTCTATGGATCATGTAAGTGTATGTAAGTCTATGGGTCTCAATGTAAGTCTATGGATCATGTAAGTGTACGTCAGTCTGTGGGTCTCAATGTAAGTCTATGGGTCATGTAAGTGTATGCAAGTCTATGGGTCTCAATGTAAGTCTATGGATCATGTAAGTGTATGTAAGTCTATGGTGGTCAATGTAAGTCTATGGATCATGTAAGTGTATGTAAGTCTATGGGTGTCAATGTAAGTCTATGGATCATGTAAGTGTATGTAAGTCTATGGGTCTCAATGTAAGTCTGTGAGTCTCAATGTAAGTCTATGGATCATGTAAGTGTATGCCAGTCTATGGGTCCCAATGTAAGTCTATGGATCATGTAAGTGTATTCCAGTCTATGGGTCTCAATGTAAGTCTATGGATCATGTAAGTGTATGTAAGTCTATGGGTCTCAATGTAAGTCTATGAGTCTCAATGTAAGTCTATGGATCATGTAAGTGTATGCCAGTCTATGGGTCCCAATGTAAGTCTATGGATCATGTAAGTGTATGTAAGTCTATGGGTCTCAATGTAAGTCTATGGGTCTCAATGTAAGTCTATGGATCATGTAAGTGTATGTAAGTCTATGCGTCTCAATGTAAGTCTATGGATCATGTAAGTGTATGTAAGTCTATGGGTCTCAATGTAAGTCTATGGGTCATGTAAGTGCATGTAAGCCTATGGGTCTCAATGCAAGTCTATGGATCATGTAAGTGTATGTAAGTCTATGGGTCTCAATGTAAGTCTATGGATCATGTAAGTGTATGTAAGTCTATGGGTCTCAATGTAAGTCTATGGATCATGTAAGTCTATGTAAGTCTATGGGTCTCAATGTAAGTCTATGGGTCATGTAAGTGTATGTAAGTCTATGGGTCTCAATGTAAGTCTATGGATCATGTAAGTGTATGTCAGTCTGTAGGTCTCAATGTAAGTCTGTGGATCATGTAAGTGTATGTAAGTCTATGGGTCTCAATGTAAGTCTATGGGTCATGTAAGTGTATGTAAGTCTGTGGGTCTCAATGTAAGTCTATGGATCATGTAAGTGTATGCCAGTCTATGGGTCTCAATGTAAGTCTATGGATCATGTAAGTGTATGTAAGTCTATGGATCATGTAAGTGTATGTAAGTCTATGGGTCTCAATGTAAGTCTATGGATCATGTAAGTGTACGTCAGTCTGTGGGTCTCAATGTAAGTCTATGGGTCATGTAAGTGTATGTAAGTCTATGGGTCTCAATGTAAATCTATGGATCATGTAAGTGTATGTAAGTCTATGGGGGTCAATGTAAGTCTATGGATCATGTAAGTGTATGTAAGTCTATGGGTCTCAATGTAAGTCTATGAGTCTCAATGTAAGTCTATGGATCATGTAAGTGTATGCCAGTCTATGGGTCCCAATGTAAGTCTATGGATCATGTAAGTGTATGTAAGTCTATGGGTCTCAATGTAAGTCTATGGGTCTCAATGTAAGTCTATGGATCATGTAAGTGTATGTAAGTCTATGCGTCTCAATGTAAGTCTATGGATCACGTAAGTGTATGTAAGTCTATGGGTCTCAATGTAAGTCTATGGGTCATGTAAGTGTATGTAAGCCTATGGGTCTCAATGCAAGTCTATGGATCATGTAAGTGTATGTAAGTCTATGGGTCTCAATGTAAGTCTATGGATCATGTAAGTGTATGTAAGTCTATGGGTCTCAATGTAAGTCTATGGATCATGTAAGTCTATGTAAGTCTATGGGTCTCAATGTAAGTCTATGGGTCATGTAAGTGTATGTAAGTCTATGGGTCTCAATGTAAGTCTATGGATCATGTAAGTGTATGTCAGTCTGTGGGTCTCAATGTAAGTCTATGGATCATGTAAGTGTATGTAAGTCTATGGGTCTCAATGTAAGTCTATGGGTCATGTAAGTGTATGTAAGTCTGTGGGTCTCAATGTAAGTCTATGGATCATGTAAGTGTATGCCAGTCTATGGGTCTCAATGTAAGTCTATGGATCATGTAAGTGTATGTAAGTCTATGGATCATGTAAGTGTATGTAAGTCTATATGTCTCAATGTAAGTCTATGGATCATGTAAGTGTACGTCAGTCGGTGGGTCTCAATGTAAGTCTATGGGTCATGTAAGTGTATGTAAGTCTATGGGTCATTCATAATAAAGGTTTTTGGGTTAGATCGCAATATTTATAAATGTGTCGTAACCCTCCACCACCCGACACGGCCAATCAGCAAAAAAAGTGTCACGTTGACAAAAGACAAATAGTTCACTACTCTAGCCCACCGGTGTGTTGAAGAGTGAATCCACAACATTTACAGTTTGAATACGACGTTTCGCTGGTAATTACATCCAGCATCATCGGGCAATTCGCCAGAATGGTAAAGCCCTCATTGCTCCCGTTCTTAAATAGAGCAGTAGGGTGACATCATCACTAAACTCATATCAGGTGCAGTGATTTGAGGCGGGGGGGGGGGGGGTATTGTAATTATATAATCGATTGGTAATCAGTCAATGGTTATGATTAGTAATGAGTTGTAGATTAGTAATTAGTTGTAATGTGTGTTATTGTGATTATATGCTACATTAGTAATTCGTTAATTAATATGTGTTTCCCCTATAAGGAATTGTAATATGTATTATTTAATAATATGCTTCCAAGCCACACTAAGCCTATAGCTATCAGAACAATTAAAGTTATTTCTGTTTCTCTCAATTTCAATGGATTCTATAATTAGTCTTTGCCAGTAATAATTAGTTTTACACAACACTTCAACGTTATCAAAATCAATTGAGTGTCCTTGTTGACAAGCATGTTCTGCCACTGCCGACAGTTGTGTTTGAGATGATTTAATATTTCTTTGGTGTTCTATGGGTCTCAATGTAAGTCTATGGATCATGTAAGTGTATGTAAGTCTATGGGTCTCAATGTAAGTCTATGAGTCATGTAAGTGTATGTCAGTCTGTGGGTCTCAATGTAAGTCTATGGATCATGTAAGTGTATGCCAGTCTATGCGTCTCGATGTAAGTCTATGGGTCATGTAAGTGTATGCCAGTCTATGGGTCTCAATGTAAGTCTATGGATCATGTAAGTGTATGTAAGTCTATGAGTCTCAATGTAAGTCTATGGATCATGTAAGTGTATGTAAGTCTATGGGTCTCAATGTAAGTCTATGGATCATGTAAGTGTATGTAAGTCTATGGGTCTCAATGTAAGTCTATGGGGGTCAATGTAAGTCTATGGATCATGTAAGTGTATGTACGTCTATGGGTCTCGATGTAAGTCTATGGATCTCTATTCAAGGCGAGTGGATGTGGCTAGAGTAAAAGCGCAGGTAAGAATTGGACCAAGAAAGATAATCCAACTAAATCCACTGCTGGGACTGTGGGCTTAGAAGAACATGAGCAAAGGATTCTCTTGGCTGTGATTGGCTGATCTGTCAACAAACGGATCCCACTAATATGGCTATTTCCAGGTGTCCTCTTAGCTGTGCTTTCAAGTGCTACTCTCACACGCGTGTGGGAATCTCGTACCGTTGGAACAAGCGTTCCCTGAAAGGAATAAAAAAATCCCATTTTTCTAACCAGCAGCAATCAATTCCTGATCGAATGCCAGGGTTCAACTGGTAACTGGCTCTTGCTTTTTTTTTAAATAGCGATGTTGACAATCCTACGCGGGCACACCACTTTGCCCTTTTTAAAAAATATATTTGCTCTTATTTTAATAACTCTGACAAGCTGTCGGTGAACCGTTGAGGGTGGCCGCGTCCAAACACAAACGTTGTTTAAATGCAAATCGAAGCGGAGGAAGAGGTGGCGGCGCAGGTGGAGCTGCAGGGGGAGGATAAGCGGCGATGGACTCGCGCTCACGGCCCCTTGACGTTCTGAGCCGGACGTGCGAAGGAGGCGGCGAAGTAGCACGTGGACGGGTCGCATTGACCCGTCCGTCCGGGCGGGCCCTGCGGCCCCGACTGCCCGGGGACGCCGGGTTCCCCCGGCTGGCCCTGAGGGCCGGGCGAACCGTCCTTGCCGAAGCCGGGGATTCCAGACTGACCTGGATTGCCACACGCAATAGGTGCGGGGGGGGGGGGGGCGGAATGGTCACATACCGGGTGAGGCATCGCAGGGCAAACAAACGCGGACAGCTCCCCGCTCCCCCTCTCACCGTGCGTACCACCGCCGGACACCTCACGCTGGTGATCACACGACGCTGGACCGCGTTGAGGACTCGGTCTACCAGGCTCGCCGTTTCTTCTTATCCACCACCACGGCGCAGGTCACAAACACCTCTCTTTCTGCGTTTTCCCTCTGCGCTGCTTAACGTTGAATTTCCATCTCGTTATTACTTTACCCAAGCTCCGACGATAATTTTTCTAAATTCAAGAAATGTGTCCAAACTCTGATATATTACAACTACGGCAGTCCTGGTTGTTGCTGACCCGTTGATGTGTTGGGCCTGTGCTTAAAAACCATGTAAACCAATAATAACAAATCTGACACTGACCCATCGCATCCCACGCTGGCCCTTCAGTGTTCACCCGTCCATCACACGGCACCATGAGGTGTACATGGGTCAGGGACGTGTAGAATGCTCATTTACTTAGCCCCAGACAACACACCATACTCTGACCCAGGAATCCTATGTATCTTTTGTATTATCAGATGATCTGTAGTGGCTGGCAAAGGAACACGGGTGGATTTATTTTCTGTATGAGCTTTGTCTATACTCTCGTCAATTATCACGATAAGAAAACCGTGCTATTTAAAAACTCTCTCGCAGGGCTTGCTGAATGAGATTTCACAGAACTACTTTTGAGATTCCGTCAAGTGACTCTTTAATCCAAACTAGGGGTACTGCACTTTCCCACATGCCCTGTCGTAGAGATGTTTGTCAGATGGTGATAGAAGCGATATTTGTAACCCTCACAGCTGGAAAGTTGAAAACTGAATCCCAGATTCCGATTCCAGGATCTCAGCAGTACCATCTCAATGCTCTGAGCCCTGAGCTACCCGGTCACCTCACACGAGAGTTCAACATTTAAATCTCATTGTGAGAATGTGCGATGCCAAGATAACCGGATTACGTCAGCGACGCGGGAATATCAGACGTGGCAATTAAACGGGCCCTTTTATGCGTTCCAGTGACCTGCCGCCAGGTGGCTGAACTAATAAAACCCCAAATTGAGCTCGCTTTAAAATGTGGTGATTACGAAGGTCTGCTTTCCGCTCTGAAAATACTGTTTTTTTTTTAATCTTGCCGGTGCTTGCCGAGGCCCCGTTGAATCGTCACGGCTGCCTTGCAGCGGGAGCCGCAAGGCGGCGATATCGCCCGCGCACGTTCGTGGCAGGTTCACTGAAAATTCAATTTTAATTAGATTTTTTTTTTTAACCAGGCGTCGCTGGGTTGCGTCGCGCATTGCCCTTCGTGATGCCCGATGAGCTGGGAGCTTCGTTAAAAAAAATTTGAACAAAGTTCCCAGAGAAGCTTGGACATCGTGCCGAATGACGCTTGGCAACGACCTGAAACTGCCACTACCTGTACAGTGGTGTGACCTTAAATTGTATCTTCTCCCTCATGAAGAACGTAACCAGGATCAGACAAAGAACTGTCGGCATGTATGTACAAAATAACAGCGTTTGACTTTGTCATGATTATTGCAATCATTATTGTTGTTGTTGTCGAGTGCGTTGCGTGCGAGAGCGAGTTTACAAACAGCGAGAAGCCTCACCTGGTGGGCCCTGCGGCCCCATGTCACCTCGCACGCCGACCCCGGGCATTCCTCTCTCCCCCTTGGGTCCCCGTTCGCCTAAGAGAATGAGGACATCGCAGTCGTGACTGTCCCCGCCCCAGCGTTCGCGCCAATAGCTATCGAGTGTGCAGGCGGTGCAACTGCAGGAGCCCAGGCGCCGGTGTACGAAGAGAGATGGAGGGAAGTTGGACAGCGGGGGACCAAATCTTATTCCTTGTCAACGTGGTCCATGGCAACCTCGCTATGCCACTGGTTATAGTTTTACAAAATTATCTTGCTTGAAGTAATTGCCTTTGTCTTGCGATCACTCTCTTGTGATGGCTGAGAGTGACATCGTAATTGCACAATGAGTGCAACCGCACACAAGATTTCTGAATCTTAGCTGCACATTCTCTGGCTCTCTCTATATATTTAAAATGTACTGATGTAATGTGGTGAAGTATGGTTAAACAATCTGGGGGGGGGGGGGGGGGAGAGAGACCTTCATCTGGTGGCAGAGGATTGACAAATGGATTTAAAATATGAACGTTATTTTATAATGCTGTAATTATTAAAACACATTGCGGCAAAGGCTGATAACGCGGCATAAATGATTGAAGTAAGGTGCAACGCAGATGTTTGAGTCGGCAAGCGTGGAAGTGGCTGGTTGTTTTAAATTCATATGACCAACAGGCGTCAGAAGGTCAGACTGGCGTGCAGTGAAATTGCGGGGGAAATCAAAGGATTATTTTACAAGCACTAAATCAGTTGACCTTTCAAAAGCAATATTCAGATTTTTTTTTTTTGCTTTTCAACTGGTACGTATTACAAAAGGAGTTTGGAAAATTGGAGAAAATGCATTTACTTCATTATTTCCTGCCCATTCTTCACTGCACTTTTGTCAGCGAAATACAACAGAGCTGTGTGTGTGTGTGTGTGCTATAGCCATACAGCCGTAATGAAAGGGAAACAGTTTGACCTTCTACCCAACGAGAACGTCGGTGAGACCTTTTTGCATTGACGATCACATGGGTGGGTGGAGGATGGCGCAGTTGGCCCAATGTCCCCATTTACCACGGCTGATGCGCACCTCGGGCCGATGCCCAGAACGGTTAAAGAATAACCGCACGGCGGTGAACATCGACACACCCCCGAAGGAGTCGAGTGCGATGAGTGCGATGAGCCCAGACAAGGGCCCGACGTTGAGTTGAAACTCACCCTTGAACCCAGGCAAGCCCTGGGGGCCTTCGCGACCCATCTGCCCCGCAGGCCCAGGCTCCCCGGCCGAGCCCGGTCGCCCTGGCAACCCGTCCTTGCCTGGGTTACCGGCGGGGCCTGGTTTGCCAGGCGAAGCCATTATGGCTGCCGGCTGGACTTGGCCGATGATCCGCGCCATGCTTTCTATGGAAAACAGAATTTTGCGAAATGTCATAAATTACCCACAAATTATTTAATTAGAAAAAGGAAAAAAACACGAAGCAACATAGCTCGCTACTTGCACAACCATGCCCGTGTGCAGGCTGGTGCCGCATACACCTGGTGCTACACAGGGACAGCTGCCACTGGGGGTCCCCTTGGCTCGAGTGCCATAGGAGAGAGTGAGATGAAATGTGAAGTGAGGAGCTTTCATTTGCCGAGGCATTTGAGTGCCCTGTAAATGGAAATTTTTAATCCTAAATGCCGAAATGCAAGGGTGATGGGGCTTTCGTGACTTATATTAAATGGAGGGCAATTGGTTCCATTTGATCTTAAAGCAGAATGAAAATGTCAGCTTCCAGTGCTACACCGATATCCTCTGGGCTGAACACTGCGATGCAAGCGTTGTGGTTCTGACGTACCGTCCAGCTGTCTTGATACTTCCTCCCTTATGAATCTCTTTAGCTCATCAAAGGACACAGATTTCCCCTACAGAAAAAAACAACCAATAAAACAAACAGAAGGTGTAAATAAAATAAAATATAAATGTGCAGTGGACTCCTACGTGTTGTCTGCCCATGAACCGTGATGTTTTTGAAGACTCTGAGACATTGCTATGGATTGGAAAGTCCTTCATCCTGGAGTGCGTATATAATGGCTGACAGTTATGACAACAGGTAATTGCTGAGAATTAATTAGTTTTCAACACATTTTTATACATATATTTTATCATCTGGCCAGGACTCTTGGATGCATTCTAGGTAAAGGTGCAGCCCTACAAGTTCATGCTCATGCCACTCCTGGCAGAAGGGCCACCCCTAGAGTCGGCTCAAGAGGCCATTTGGCCTACTCTTTCATGCTGGCCAGACGACTCGGAAGAGGTGGTCGTCGTCACCACACGTTACCCAATCACACACGACCTGCCTATCGACTAACTGTGGTGTACCTATTTGTACTGCTGGGTGGACAGGGGCAGGGACATTTAAGACGCTTGCCCCGTTGTTTCAACTACCGTGCCGGTAGGTTGAATAAAACCGGTGACCTCTGGATTGCAAGTCCAGCACGCTAACACACGACAGCGCGGCGGCATCTCGCAAGCATCGAATGATATTTTAGTCAAGGGCTGCCAAATAATCTATTGACCTCCCCTATCCAAAGGGCACGGATTTACATCAAGTGCAGACACTGTTGCAAGGAAAGAGAAAAAAAGGATAATTTTACTGGCTGAACACTTCAAGAGATGTCCGAATAAATCAAGTGCCGGCATTAAATCGCACGTGCGGTTACACACCGCGCTGCCCTGCCCTGCCACGCGTACTCCCACGCAACGTCCTTAGCGGGACATTTCCACGCGCGGTGAGCGACGCCACTTTTGGTTTCGCTCCGCATCCATCCACCGCCAACCAACGCCGCACCTGGTCGAGCAAGTCGCTTTGGCCCAGCGTCGCAAAGATCGCTGACGCAACGTGGCACAGAAGACAGTTCACCGAGACATCGCTGCACAGCATTTTTGTTGTCAGTCCACCGCTGGATGAGGGCCTCCCAATGCTGTACGGGTACATGCGCAGGCCTTTGTTGTCATTCCACTCCTGGGCGAGTGGCCTGCCCACATGTTCATGAATGTAGCACTGCAAGACTCCGCTGCATTGGGAAACGCCGGCCAGAAGCGAGAAAAGATGGTGAAAGTTGCTCTACACGTTTCGGATAGGGGCCACACACAGGCTTATCTGAACTTCGTCAGGAGCCAAACCCCTCTGAATGCATGGCTAGGAGAAGGCGCTTGTCACTTGGCGTGGCTTAAAAACCACAATGTAAGCACCACACATAAGGGTGCGGCCTACATCCAGCAGTGGATTGATCACTGCCGATGATTGCAAATTGTACCGTCGCGGCCGCACGGATCTACCTGAAGGCCTGGTTGGCCTGGTTGCCCCGAGGAGCCCGGTGCCCCAGGAAAGCCTCGCTCGCCCGGTGGCCCAGCCGGACCCATGGGACCCGTGAATCCCTTGTGGCCCGGTGTCCCGGGCTCCCCGTCGCGTCCCTTGTCTCCGGCAGGGCCCTTCAGACCTTGCACGCCCGGGTCGCCCTGCGGGCAGAGCAATGCCGCCTGCGTCACACGACGCCGCTCGGCGTGCGTGGTTGTGCCGACCGGCGGCAGGCGTCTTTTAACACCGCCCGGGGGGGGGACGCCGCCACCTCGTACCGTGGGGGCACCGTTCCCGTTGGGATATCAGGTCGAGGTTGCCGGCCAGTGCTCGATCCGGGCCGTTTCGAGTGTAGCTACGGTCGGGGTGTCCCCTCGCCGTCGTAGCTCTCCCCTGGCATGAGGGCCCCCCAAGTCCGATGTTGGAGAAGCCCGAACGCATCGGGAACGCTTTGGGTGGGAGGCTGCGGGGTAACGTGGAAGTTGCCTGTCGTGCCGGCTTCGTGAACAGAGGGAGCTCCGAACAAATTGGCTGCAGGTGCTCCGACTCTGGTGAAAAGTGCACGTCCTTTAGTCTTCTGCTATTTTGAAAAATAATTGCACTCTTGTGGAAGCTATTCTAGTATCCCACAACTTGGTAACCGTACTTCGAATTTTTTTTATAGTATTTGTGTTTTGCTGTACTTCAAGTACAAATACTGATCGTGTGAGAGTTATTCGACTGCAGCTAATTCAATATAAGCCTGCCATGAGTACTTTGATTGGTAAAAATCCATACAATAATTAAACATTTCAATGAAATCTAAAAATTATGACTTCATATAAATACCACGGCGTCAATTGCTGCGTGCAGAAAAAAAAACCCCTTTGCAAAGCACTCATGTTATGGATAAATAGCTCTTTGTTTACAACTGTTCAATGAAATAGTCACGTAAAATAAGGCGAGTAATAATAATCGCGATATGGCGATATCTCGAAAAGTAGACAATGCGATGATTGTTGTGGCTCTTGTATCCCACGAGGCACTGTGGCCATTTGCTAATCGCAGCAATCGTTGCACTGACAATGGGAGGCAGTGATGGGCAAATCACCGTGGATGGCGATCGATGTGGCCTTGGTGGTTTTGGCAGTAAGCGTGATTGCCACGGAGCCAATTTTCATGGAGATCGATCATCGACTGATCGTGACCCAAATGTGCAGTTTACTGGAGAGGGAAATTTTAAAACAATAGTGCTTCATTCACTGGGTTTCCATTAGGCAGTAGTGGAAAAAAAACTGAGCTTAAAGGTAATGATGCAGCCGTGTAATTACTTGATCATGCCACTACTGGTCTACTGGATATCTGTGAAGAAGAGCTTCATAGCTCATAGGATTCCTCCAGTATAAATAAATATTCTGATTCTGAGAAGGGCCTCCATGCTGGCCAAACATCTTGGAAGAGGTGGGAGTAGGCACACTTTGCCTCACTGCATGTGACCTGCACATCTGTTAATTGTAACTCAGCTTTTTTGTTGTAAAAACTCATTTGTGTAAGTTTTCTGAACTCAGATTTTAGTTGTTTTGTTTTTGTAAGAGTTACTAAAGTGTTTTGAATTAAGTATCTTTATACGTGTTATGTTTTATGATAACGTTTAATTGTTTAATTGGATGGTGTTCATAATAACGCATCTTACAGGCATTAAGTTAGAAAATATGAGGCATTCATTGCTATGCTCTGTGGGAGTGGGATGTTTTTGGACGGACATAGAAATCTTTATCCGTCCCGTCAATTGCCCTTATCCAAAATAAATAAAAAGGCGAATTAGAAACCCGGGTATTGCACGCGTGTAGGAGGTCACTGGCTAGTTTAAAACCTAAATCGGACACCATTTCACACCGCTTAATTGTAAAACAAATATCCGTCTCCACTTAAGGGCTCGGTTGCATGCGTCGCTCTTGAAAAGCAGGGCCTGTAATTGGATGTCAGTCGGCCCCGCTCCTACTTAAATAAAGGACAATGATTGAAATGGGATTATCCTTTAATACACTTGGTCTGGCTCGTTGCTCCAAGGGCGCTGAACGATGATTGCTTGGGAAGGATGCGCATCTGCTGTTGATTGTGTGCGATGGAGGGCAATAAATTTACCCTCTCTCCTTTGGGGCCCCGGTCTCCGGCTCGGCCAGCATCGCCCTTTATTTAATGAAGACAAATTTAAAAGGGGGAAAACAAAAATTAAACTTTCAAATGTGGAAATGCATTCGGGACTGGGTTATTGCAAAAATCTATTATGCACAATCACAAAAAAACATTTCACGAGTTCACGCATAACCGAATGGAATACATTACGAGCGTGGATATTGCACACGTGGGGTAATTGCATTGTGTGCGTTTTTACTGCGGTGTGCAAAAATCGCGGGGTTATTGTGCTGGGACTTTTCTGCGCAGCAACTGAAGAAATAACGGCGCTCACTTCTTTTCCAACGGGGCCTGCCATGCCTTGCTCACCCTGCAAAACAGACATTGTGAATCAACACACAGGGGTCTATAAACAACACACACACACATATGTCTGCCAAACTCTCATTGTTAATAATGATCATTTTCAGTAACTTCAACCATCCACTGATAGACGACGGGCTCACCTACAGCTTGTCTGTCACAGGGGTTGATTGACCATACTTCACCATGCTGGTTGGTGCGGGGTTGGCAAATCGTGAGCCCACGGCCAGTTCAGATTTTACCACCGATGCTATCCTCATGGCCAGAATAAAATGTAGGATTCATAGTGAAGTCTGCTAACCATTGAGCCAGCGCTCTCCCCCGGTAATGCCCATTATGTTTAATTAAGTACATCACCATGGTGGGGGATTTCAGACTAATGACGACTGCAATCTTCTTGCTGGAGGGCAAACATGTCTCACTTGTTCAATAAAAAGGCTGGCAATGTGCCTCCTACAACCTTGCGGTAACAAGTACGTCAACTCTTTTCGTTCAGAAAAAAAAAATGTCTGCATCAGAAGGGGCGAGTCAATTTCGTTCAGTGCGTTTTTTTTTGTATGATGGAGGGAACTGGAGAAACCTAGAGAGAAGCTATGCATGCGATGGGATTACAAGCTAAGGTCTGCACAGATTGTTTAAGAACCAACTTGTTGCACTGTGCTACACTGTCACTTCCCAGCCGCCTGAAAGCTGAGAGGGTTTTTGGGAGTTTTTCACCAAAAAATCTACACAATCAAGCTAACTCTTGCCTCCAAAGTGCCGGATCATAGCCCTGGGGGATGACAACTACCTCGCCTGGTATAAAAGGTTTGCGTAAAAGTAAATGCGTGCGAAGCCCGTTCATTGGCGGGGGTGATAATTATCCGCATCACCATACTGAATCAGAGAGCTCTCGATTGTGGCGAGATGTTTACTACCTCGCCTGGTATGCAGGAGGTTGTGGGATCCACCCCGACCCTGCCGCCTGCTGAATGTTTGGAGTTTCCATGTCTCTCTCCCTGTGGTCGCGTGGATTTTTCTCTGAGGGTTTTCCCTCCAGAGTATTTGGCTGCTATACATTTTCACTCGATAAGCCACTTTGTTGAGCTATCATTTGTGGCCAGATCGCTCCTGAAAAAAAGGTAAATAGCTCAGTGGGCCTTACCTGGTAAAATAAAAAAAGTTAAAAACAGTTAATGTGTGTTCACCGCCTCCTTATAGGTGGTTTAGCTGAGTTGTGCACCACACTTCAGCGATGGCCTGAAATGTCTTGGTGGCCCAAAATAAGTAAGAATACAGGGGGATTTATCGGAAACTTTTGGTCACACCATGGACGAGAAATTTAATGCGCAACGCATCACCGACCGCTGGACCAGGAAGCCCTCTCGGCCCAGGAAAGCCGATCTCTCCCACGTGTCCCTTGTCACCCTTGGATCCCTGTGGACGTCACACAAACACACACAGCATGCGGCATCACGCCGCCGGCTCCCGACGCCTGTTAATCCTCCGCTGGCTGTAAACTCAATAGAGGTGACAGCACTGGATTTATGTGGGGGGGGGGGGGGGGGGGGAAATGGGGCTTTTTGTCACAGTTCAAAACTCCAGGGAGGCCCCAGGAAAAAATAAAATACACTACACTGTGCATTAAGAAAAGTAGGGCGATTTAGTCATGTGATCGTTTAAGATGTAGGTAAAGGTGGAGCCCTGCAACCGCATGCTCACGTCACTGCTGGCGGAAAGGGCCCTCCGCTAGAGGGAGCTCTCGAGAGGCCCTCTAGAAGGTACTTGGCCTGGGAAAATGTCTTAAGGGTTGGGAGGGCACGTACTTTTTCTCACCGCACTCGATCTGCCGATCGACCAAATGGTACCCGTTCATGCAGCTGGATGGACAGAGCCAGGGAGATCAAAGAAAGCCGCACCGTTGGCTTCAACTACCGCACAGGGAGATCCAACCGCCGACTTCTGGATTGCTCACCGTTACACCATCGTGGCCATTACCATGAGCAATTTAATATGAACAATATAAATAACAATACCTTTATTAATTTCCGTTTCATTAGGTTTAAATTCCATCGTCCACTTTTCACCCTTCATCTGATGTGAATTGATTAACCCATTCGTATTGTGCTGGTGTCTGTATGTGTGTGTGAGTGGAGGAGGCTCGTGAAGGACGCTACTGGGCAGCTGGAGGCAGGTGCCCTCCAACAACAGCAGAGGGCAGAGGAGCGACACTCACAACAACGAGTGGAGCGCCGAGTGGCTAAAGCACAGCAACCCATGGCGTCTGGGTCTGTCCCGTGACCACCTGCCAGCGAGCCTTCGACACTTCATGTGGACTCAGAGCGCACCTAGCCTGGCACAAGTGCCGTGGTGACGTTACTGCCACTTGGTGGAAAATGTCGGTTGTTGTTGTTGAGTAAAGAGAGGGGAGGGGAGGAAGTGGGCGTTCTTTTCTGCTGTGCAATGCCACATGGCAGAGATTCTTAAATCCATCCCAAAGTAACGTACATCTGTGTGGTCTCCAAACGTCGCAGGCCAACAACGTTGACGGGGAACAATTTAACCAACGTTGACGGGGAACAATTTAACCAACGTTGACCAGGAACAATTTAACCAACGTTGACCAGGAACAATTTAACCAAAGTTGACGGGAAACAATTTAACCAAAGTTGACCAGGAACAATTTAACCAACAATCTAACCAAACAAAACTCAATGTTGCTGCCGTATCTCCATGTCAGCAGCAAACCAAGCGCTGTGAACATGAATTCATCTTCATTATGAAACGTTAATCACAAATCCGACCCTCACATTAAATCGTCACATTTCAGGGATGGCCTAAAAACCTCTCAATAATCACAATAAGCACCATTGCATGGCATTTAGTGACAAGGACAAATATGCCACCCAAGAGCTGTACAAACTGTTGGGGAAAGTGCTGCTTGCGGGCACTTCACCAAGGCTGGCAGGGCGCACGAGGGGGTGGTGTGGTCAGCACCACTCCCGGGCCGCCTTTGTCTCCACAGCGCCGATGTTCACGCATCACCACAAGTGACTCACTTAAGAAGCGAGCCGACCTAGGGGAGGACCCATGGCCGGCTCAGATATTCGTCACCGACATCGGCCGTGGGAGGAGAATTGAAACTCGGCTCGCCAGATTCGAAGCGCAGCGCGCTAACCCCTGCACCACCGCTGCGCCGCTCGGTAAGAGCGCTGTCACCAAGTGGGCAGTGACAAGGCAGCACTTTCGCTCGGTGAGGAGTGGTGGCCAAGCAAAAGAGGCATATTGATGCTGCGACCAGAGCCGCTCTCACTTGCGGCACAGAAGCGGCTGATGGCAAAACAAACTCGGATCACGGTGACACCGTGCCCCCTCAAGGTGTGTCTGATTTAATTTGCGACACTCACGGGTTCTCCCTGGACTCCCTTGGACCCGAGAGGCCCAGTGGCGCCCGTCTTGCCCTGTTAGTGCGAAAAACACACAAGCACGATCGCAATCAACGTCACGGGACATGCGGGATTTGTGTAACGGCGAAGGTGCTAGCTGGGCAATCGTTAACGGGCTTAGATGCTGACCGCAATAGACTTTCGGCACAGTTGCTAAGTCGTGCACACGTACAGCCCTGTTGTTGCATGTGTGTTGAACTTCCTTCGCACCGTACGTAGCCAACCATGCTATTCGGAGGTGCGGTGTCTCTCTATCGCTTAACGTGCTGCAGGCGACGTGCAAGCATGTCGGCTTGCACACGCAATCCACCGCTCGATGAGGGCTTCTTTCCACGCTGGTCAGTGCGGGTTGGTGGAGGCAGGGAGCATGGAAATTTTGAGGGCATAGTACAGTACAACAATGGATATTTTTACACTGCCCTGTGCTGACAGTGTAACTCCGCAGCGGCCTATAAGACCCGTTCGAAGTCAATTGTTCACCCATCCAAGCACTATCCAGGCTCAACCTGCTCAGCGTTACGTGCAGTTTGGTTTTTTGGGAGATGCTGAATCACCGCCGTGGGAATGATGTATTTACTCACGCAGATTGTTGCTATCAACTCGCTTGGTGGCCACCACACCGGCATTCGCCGTGGCAGCTATAACCCCTGGGCAGCACAGCAGCTCACGGCTCAAGCGACGTGCGTTTTCATTTTCACGTATAAAAACAAACTGCAATGCTGGTGGCACAATGATGCCGTATCTCTGAACTTTGCGCATTCGAAGCCACCCATGCAATGCGATCTTGCGTAAGCAAAAAAGCAAGCAGTTGTCAGTACCGCGAAAAAGGGTGCGTGGCTTTTTGGCAAGCTGGCAGAAGGGAGGGATTGAGTATTACTGTCCAGGAACTGGACTGTTCCTGCAGGAGAAACACTGAGCACTTGGAACAAAACTACCAGAAGTCACGCTGAAAAACACGTGGTACAACCGGAAAACACATGGGCCAGCCATATATATTAATAATAAAGTGTGTAAATATATGTACTGCATTTGAAAAAGCCACGGTTAAACTGCAATCCCACCCACAGGTAATCGGGAGTTAGCTGTAATATTACTCAAGAGGCAAAGCGGTGAAGTGGAAGCCCAACGGTGCTGCCTCCCTGCCCCCATCATCTGTATAGGATTAATCATAAAGCAGTCCGGTCTGAGTGACGATCCAGCACTCACTAATTCAGTCTACTCACTCGATCACCAGCGGTCAGTCGCCTCCGTGTCACCCTTCCATTGCTACTACACTGGTGGTGTCCTGTTCATGTGAACTTCACGCATTGCTTCCTCCGCCCATGTTGAGGGCTCGGTCTACGAGGCTGACTGTTTTGTCTCACCCACAACACAGTGTTCAACCACAACCACCACCACCACCGAGTTCAATCACCACCACCACTTCGTGTTCAACCACGACAACACTGTGTTCAACTGCCACAACCACGAACACCACACCATGTTCAACGACCACCACCACCACCACCGTGTTCAATCACCACCACCACTTCGTGTTCAACAACCACAAAATATACCACCAGCCCGTGTTTGACCATCACCAACCACGCTGCTGCTATTCGCTTTCTGATTCTCCTCTCTCACCGCTCCACACCGGAATTCCCTCCCATCGTACATTTTCCCAAGCTCGTGTTGCCTCCCTCAACGCAACAAGCGCATCACGTGACCAGTGCCAGATTATCCTAGTCGCAAAAGTAGCTGCATATGTAGTAGCTAAACATGTAGTAGCTACATGTGTAGTAGCTACGGGCCCCGCACTTTCAAGGGCCCCGCGCTAAATGCTTTCAAGCTATCAATTCCGGTTCAGTGATTCTGTACTTGCTCTATTAATATAGTACTATTCTGCCTTCAGCTTTATGAACGACTGGGTGTTTAAGGTTAGCGATTTGTCGTATTATCTGGTTGTGTAGCACATAAAAAATGCAATTTACTACACAAGTAAAAAAATGTGTGTTTTAATATTAATGGGCCACTTTATAACATGTGCTACATGTGCTACAGGCCCCGCACTAGCTTAATCCGGCACTGCATCACACGCTCTCAATCCATCCACAATTTCGAAAGCGCCGTTTGTTGCGGGCTGCTTGACGTTTCGGGACCTTTGGGCCCTGTGCTCAGCAACCGTGTTCAAATAATAATAATAAAAAAAAACATCTTACCGGCTCTCCGCGGAGGCCTGGAGGGCCCTGCGGCCCCGGGGGACCCGGGTCACCCTGTCACCAGTGGGGAGTCGGGGAGAGAAATGGGCATCGTAAATCTTCCCCGTAACCGAGGGCGCCACGCGCGCCCCACCGACTCGTGCACCGCGCCGCGCTCCACCGCGCCGGCGCTGACGTCTCCCAACCGCGCCGCGAGCAACACGGCAGGAGCAGCCGGCGTTTTGTTCCGGGGACGCGCAAGCCGTATGGGAGTCAAACGCTTCTTTACGCTGTCTCGAAGCAGAACTGTGCGCACGCGCGCAGCCTCCTTGTCGATCCTCGGCCGGAGCAGGCGTAAGTCGTTAATCGTCATTTAAAAAAGGAATAGGTGAATGAGAGTGTAATAAACACACTAGCATCAGTTGAGTCTACACATGTTGAGTGCGTGTGTGTTATGTTACATCTCTGTGGAACATCCTCCCATATGTTTCCCCCCCCCTAAGTTGCTGCAATATTAATGATAATAACTTACTACTCATGCACAGCCTGCTCGTCGATCCACGGCTGGGCTAGGGATGAATCGTATACCGTCATGAAAAATAACAAATGAATAAGAGTTTACCCATCGTTCCTAATGCCCCGCCAGGAGATCGAACCGGCGACCTCTGGACTGCAAGTCCAGCGCACAAACCATTAAGACCGCGGCAGCATACTATTTGAGCAAGTGTGTCAAAATCTGGAATTGGGAAAAACAGCCGGTAACCTGACGAAATAGATGGACAGTGTCTCCTGGGATTGAAGGCATGGCAATGCGGTTACTGGGCTGGTGATGCGGGTTTTACCGGCGCTCCATTGGGGCCCTCTCGTCCGGGCTGTCCACTCATGCCCTGTTCGCCCTGCAGCAAAACACGACACTCGTCATCGGCGCCGGGGAAGCGTTGCACTTCACGGCGAATTATTTTGAAAAAAAAAAGACCCGACGTCAAATGGAACGTTGTTTGGCGTGATCGTGCAACGAAAGCGAGCTGCCAATTTCGGTTCTTCAAGAAGCTCCCAGCCACTTGGGGGGGGGGGGCGGGGGGGGGCATGCGTCTTCGCATCGGCACAACCCTAACAACAAAAAACATCACCCCCCCCCATAGTAGGAATGTGGAATTCCCATCGCATCCGATGGAAACAAGCGCTGCCTCATTTCTCGTTGAGCAAGGAGGCCTCTGACTTTTTATACGCAGTAATAATAATAATGATAAAAAAAGGAATGTCCAAGCAATAGCACAACCTAAAAAAAAAACTTCACGCATTAACCATCGAGCGAATCTCTGAGCAAATGAGGACACACCACGAACGCCACAATGTTCCATCGGAAGGGAAAATAAATAATGACTCACGCGCAGGCCGGGTGGCCCGACTAGGCCCTTGTGACCTTTGAAGCCCTGTGATTCACACACACACACAGACGCACACGCGCACACACACACATGTACACACACACACGCAGACACACAGACACACAAATGAGCTCCAGGGTACGTCATTGATATTACTTCATGCTGTGTTGCACTGCGCCGAATGACACTGACTGAATAAATAAAAAATAATATATCGTATAAAATTGGAATCTGGCGTTTTGATCCTCAGGATGAAAGAGCGTTGCCCCAAGGTTAAAGATGCAAACGTTGCAAGAGAGCGCAAGGCTGCAACGCAATGCGTGTGTGAATAAACTGCGGCTCATTACCACAACCGCGGAGAGGTATCGTACATTGTACGACACAAAAACCACGGCAATCGTATTGTCAATTTGGTGAAATATCGGTGTCAATTAATTATCGTAGCTCAATGAATTTCTCCTACATTTTTTAAACTTCTGATTGTTTTTTTTTTACAAAATACAGTAACAATAATAATAAACACTTACAAAAATAATGAAAAGTTTAGTGGAGACAATAATACCTATCACACATTGCATTAGTGGAGTGTGTAAATAATTTTCTTGAGCAATGGTGGCCGAAACGTCGTGATTTTTTGTTGTTTTATTTTTTACCTACGTGACTTTACCGAATAGAACCAAAGAGTATGGATCCTTGCAGTCACGAAAGCTTTAAATCTACAATGGTGGAATGTTGACTCAATGACACAATGGTTTTCTGACAGCGTGTGCGTTATGAGCAACATTGATTGTAAAGTTACAATAATGAGAAGAGTGATGGCAGCCTTACATTGAGTGCTGCAGTTGAATAACTATTAACCAATCCTTATTCATATTTTAAGCGCAGGTTAAAATATGAAAAGAGTACAAAAACAAGACGAAAAAATGTTGAGGTACAATTACAAAGTTAGGTGAAACTGACATCGTGAAAATTGTCACATCGTGAAATATGATACTGGATCGTGAAAAACTATATCACATAATCCGTACCACGCACACATTTCAAAGTTTATTTCTCAGACTATGTGTGCAGAGAGGTGATTAAGCAGCTTTTCCAGGCTTGAGGAGCAAAAAAGCTGTTTATGCATGTTTATGAACCTCTGAAGTTCCCGTAATTGCCGTATAAAACACGTGCGCAAATATGAAGGTCATCTATTGAAAGGCAACAAAGACGAAATAGAAATGGCAAGCGACTCACCGGAAACCCACGTGCTCCTGGTTTCCCGGCGGTTCCCGGTTCTCCTGGGCTGCCCTAAAATTTGTGCCAATAAAAGCAACCGTTTTGAAAATTAGTGTAATCACAATCAGGCACACAACACAATTACGTGGAATGGCAGCCACTCGCCAGCGTTATTAAACTTTCTCGAGTTATTATTTTAATGACGCTAATGGTTCCCAATAGGCATCCCAATTTACAGTGAAGTAGCACTCCTTTGCAAATGGCCTTCATTAAGTCGGTGGAGGCATTTTTTTACATGACCACCGTTACTCTGTGAGAGTGTGACACTTCACCGAATCCCCAGTTGCAGCAAATTTTCTCACAGCCACGGATTTTTTTTTTGTTGCCTCTGGGCAGGTAGGTCCGGGATGACCGTGTGAATGGGTTTTGCAGGCTGGACGAGTCATCCAGGGGTCACCGATGCGATCTCTCGGGCCAGACGGTTCAAACAATTTTTGTTCATCTACCCAGCAGCATGAATGGGTGAAACAGCTTCTGAAAAATAAGCTAATAGCTCAGTGGGCTTTACCTGGTAAGATAAAATAGTACAAATTGTATTTGTATATATTAAAGTGATTTGGTTTAACACGTAGGCTTTCGCGACCAATATTATTCATAATAAAGGTTTTTGGGTTATATCGCTTTTATTTATAAATGTGTCGTAACCCTCCACCACCCGACACGGCCAATCAGCAAAAAAAAAAGTGTCACGTTGACAAAAGACAAATAATTCACTACTTCAGCCCACCGGTGTGTTGAAGAGTTAATCCACATTTACAGTTTGAGTACGACGTTTCGCTGGTAAATACTTCCAGCATCATCGGGCAATTCGCCAGAATGGTAAAGCCCTCGTTTGCTCCCGGTTTTATATAGAGCAGCAGGGTGACGTCATCACTTAACTCATATCAGGTGCAGAGATTAGAGGCGGAGGGGGGGGGGGTAATGTAATTATATAATCGATTAGTAATCAGTCATTGGTTATGATTAGTAATGAGTTGTAGATTAGTAATTCTTTAAATCAAAATGTAATGTGTATTATTTAATAATACGCTTCCAGGCCGCACTAAGCCGGTAGCTGTCAGAGCGATTAAAGTTATTCTTGTTCCTCTCAATTTCAATGGATTCTCTAATTAGTCTTTGCCAGTAATAATTAGTTTTACACACCACTGCAACATTGTCAAAATCAATTGAGTGTCCTTGTTGACAAGCATGTTCTGCCACTGCCGACAGTTGTGTTTGAGATAATTTAATATTTCTCTGATGTTCTTTTAGTCTTACACTGATGTTACGTCCCGTCTGCCCAATGTAGCAGCTGCCACATGAACAATTACTCCGATATACACCTTCTGTTGATAGTTTAGGTAATGCGTCTTTAGTGCAAGATACTAGTTTTTGAATTTTGTGTACTGTACCAAATCTTACTGTAATGTTTTGCTTTTGCAAAACGCGGGCTAATTTGTCAGTTACTCCTGAGATATATGGAATTTTTATTGTTTTAACAATCTGGTCGCTTTCAGTAGTATTGATTAAAGTAATTTGTTTACATTTCCTTTGCAATCCTATCGCGTTTTTATATTATTTGTTGTTGTAACGTTCTGACCTGCCCCTCCTGGACATCTGTGAAAAAGAGCTTTATAGCTCATCGGATTCCTCCAGTATAATGAAATATTCAGATTCTGAATGTATCAACAGGTCGCATGTGGTGGGGTAAAGTGTGGGTACGCCCACCTCTCTCACGATGCCTGACCAGTGTGGAAGAGTGGGTCAATGACCCTTTTGTAGGGACCATCTTTAGCTCTCTCTACTGGAGGCGATTTCTCCAACAGTGCCGTGAACAAGCAATTCAACGATGGAATTATAAACTATTTTTTTTTATTTTACCAGGTAAGGCCCACTGAGCTAGAAAGCACTCCAGCGCTGTCCTACCAGACAGTCTCGTCCCTTCACCTGATGAAGGCCGCTTGTGTTGTGGCCGAAACGTCGTGAGAATATTATTGTGTTTTTTTATTTTATCAATTTATTATTTTATTCTCATTCTACGTGACTTTACTAAAAAGCTCTTTTCACAAGCGACCTGGCCACAAATGCTAGCTCAACGAAGTGGCTTATCGCGTGGAAATGTATAGCAGCCAAAGACTATAAACGCATGTGGTTCTAAATGTGGAGGGAAAAATCAGGGGACCCGGAGAAAAATCCAGCAGCACGCATCAGGGTCAGGATGGAACCCACGACCTCCTGCATACCAGGCGAGGTAGGTAACAAATCAAATCAAACCGGCGGACCTCCGGATTGCGAGTTCAGCATGCGAACTATTACGCCACGGCAGCAAACCGCTAACACCGCAAAGGGGATACCAAAAAACAACGAGATCAAACTTGCCGCTTCGCCCGGAGCTCCGTTCCTGCCGTTCTCTCCCTCCAGCCCGGGCGGGCCCTACCAGCAGCCACACCACACAACACAACACACGCACACGTGTACGGGGCGGACAACGAGTCCCCACTCTCCAAGCCGAGACGCCGGGCACTCACCTACTTTGCCCCAAATCCGCACCCGCGCGGCAAATTTTCCGAAGCTTCCAGCGGTCGAACATTCGCAGCAAAGTGTGAAAAATTGATGACCGCAGCAGCCAGAGGGGGAGACCTCCAGTCCCTGACATTGACATCCGACTTATCTTTTCATTTGTTATTTCTAGAGTTACCGAATTATTCATTCATTTGTGAGGTTTTTGTTGTCGTCATTGTGTTGAATGTGCAATTAATGTACCCATCGGGCCGGAGCAAGTGAATGTCACCCCACGGCAACGCAATTGCGCGTGCTCGCCCGTCTTATCGAGTGAGCGCCATCGCTCACGTGGGCACGTGTGGCGCTGAAGCAAATGTCAGACGCGCTCCTAATTTGGCGACGTCCGCTGTGAATGTAACTAAGAGCTGAGATTATCTTACAGGGATGCCGGGAAGACCTTGAGACCCCATCATTCCAGGGGAACCGTCCTTTCCCTTGGGGGGAGGGGAGGGGATTAAGAAGAAATAGCAGACGAATTAATTACCTACGTGTGTTACACGAGTGTTGTAAACAGCCATTTCATGCAGGTGAATTTTGAATAAATAGAGCTACACGGATATTCATGCACGCTTCCGTTGATGTTAAATAGTTGAAACAGATTAACACGTGATGGGAAAAGAAAAGGCTTCATATTTGCCCTTTCTGGCAATAATACAGGTGTTTAGATGTTCAAACCTATTACAAGGCATTACGTCTGCATTGATGTATTTGTTGAATTTCTTTCGCACAGTACGTAGCCAACTTTGCAAGTCGGAGGTGTCGGGAAGGACAACACATACTTGTGGTAAAACGTACAAACAAATATGATTTGATCGTGTAAGCATTCTCTTTGGTTATTTCGGTAAAGTCACGTAGAATGAGAGTTTGCTCCAGCGCTGTCCTCCAGACAGTCTCGTCCCTTCACCTGATGAAGGCCGCTTGTGTTGTGGCCGAAACGTCGTGAGAATTTTATTGTGTTATTTTATTTGCTCAATTTATTATTTTATTCTCATTCTACGTGACTTTACCGAAAGAACCAAAGAAGATGAATCCTTGCAGGCACGAAAGCTTTAAATCGTGTAAGCATTGTCCTTGAAACTGATCTGCCTCCACCAGAAACAGCCTCTTTAATGGCTTTGTGTCACCAGTGCTAGACCAACGAATGCCAACAGACGAACACACTCTGATGTGGTCGTGGCTAAGTCAGCGTTGCGGATTTTACACGAACGCATTGCCGGATAAACACGCGCGCCTTCTGGTGAAAAATTGTCCTGAAATGCATCATCATTCGTCAATGAAGCCGTTAAACGCGCACGGCGACTTGGACTGCGCGGTTGAAAACGTTCGTGACGTGTGCAAGCGTACGCTTGGGGTTCACGCTATCTGGGGAATCCGAGTGATCCTTCAGTGGTGCAGGGAATCCGAGTGATCCTTCAGTGGTGCACAAACAACAGAAGGCTTCAAACAAGCACAGCCCGAGATTCTGGCGGACACCCTGGGAGTCTCTCGAGGCTCAATGCGATGCGCGTCGCTTACGCCACGGCCAAGGAAGTTCAACAAACATTCACACGGTACGATCTTCACCCTAGCCAGCGTTAGCGGGTAAGGTTTTGCCACGGGGAGGGCTAGCGCGGTGAAGACGGCGAGACGAGTTCGATGACCAATAACAGTGGGGGATATAAGGAACCGGTCCTGGGCCTCCCCTAGGTCGACTCAGCCTCAAATGAATAACCGGTGCGGTGTGCAAGCATCAGCACTGGGGAGGCAAAGGCGGCCGGGCGTGGTGCTGGCCACCCACCTCCTTCGTGTGCCGTGCCGGCCTTCATAGGTGCTACTCGTTAACAGCACTTGTCTCAGCAGCCTGTTAAAGGCTACACGGGGGATATTTGCACAGTTGTGCGAATCTGTCTCAAACTGAAACTTTTTAACAGTGGATGCCACCTCGATAGACACCCTGCATTCTACAACGAGAACAACAGCGAGACATCCGACCTTCTCTCCTGGTAATCCGGCGTGTCCCGGTGCCCCAGAGTCTCCTTTCAATCCCTGCAACAACAAACCCAAAATACTTTCCCCGTCAGTCGCTCTTTGACACGTGGCAAAAAAAAAGTGCACGTCTCGAAAGATCACAAAACCACGGTTATTTTCCTACGCAGCAAATGCTCTTCCTGCTCAGTGGGAGAGGCGGCGGTTCGCAGCCGAGATCTAAAATCCGAAGGGCGCCCCGGAGATCTGGCAAATCCGCGCGCGACGAGCGCTAACACCGCGGCGACAAAAAAAAATCACGGAAACGTTCACCCACCGGCGGGCCAGAGAGGCCGGGCGGACCTGGGTAGCCCGGTACTCCCGGCGAACCCTGTAAAAATACGAGCGCGCGTCCCTCAGTTAAGTGCTCGGCGCTTGCCGACCGCCAGAATAACAACTCGGTGCCGAGGTGCGGTTCGTGCTCGCGGGCTCGCAGGTGGTCGGAGCTCCTACCATGTCTCCCTTCTCGCCCGCCGTTCCCGAATATCCACGTTCGCCTTTCATCCCCTAGAGCGGGGGGGGGGGGGAGGGTGAGACAAAAACGGTGGATGGAGAGGGCCGCGAGGCGGAGTCGCGTGCCGGCTCTCCGTCCTGTGTTTTTATTCATAGTCGTGCCGCAGGATCGCCCGTCCGTCCGCCCGCCACGTTGTCCGTCCGACGTTTCGCTCCGCGCGCCGGGGGGAGCTCTTCCTCGGGGCCGCTCGACTCGGTTGCGTGCAAGTCGGCACGCGGAGGGAAACGTGGAACGTGAGGACGGGGACGCTGAACAGCGCCCGCGGTACAACCGGATAAAACACACTGGAGAGATACACGGCACAACCGCCAAAGGCTACGGGGTATCACAATTATTACATTAATATTAGAAAATCTTTGTTTTTTCATCCAAATAAAAATTAGTCTCACAAAAAGCACGATCTTATTTATTGACTTCATTATCTACTCATTCGTTCACTCACGCATTATTTAACTTTTGTGAATTAATTGCTTTTGTTCAGTGATATAACTGCCCTCTCACTCTCTCTCTATACCATGCCATTTCTGAAAAGACGTCGGTGATAATGGGCTCCTTCGATTCGTGGCTCTGCCCACAATATCGCTCAAGAATCCCCCAGCAACGAGAACATCCCGCGTATCATCCCAATAAGGTGGGGTAGCCTGGAGCCGTAGCGGTTAATACATTGCAGAATGAAACCCAGAGACTTGAGCTCTATTGCCAGTCACGGCTATCGTGAGTGGCGACCGATATCTGAAGAAGTCCTGGGCCCCAAAACTTCACCAATCTACAGCGACCAGCGCGATTAACGAAGGGCTGTAAGTTATTACTATTTTAAAGTAACAAACTATTCAACATGGGGCATCAACTAAGACTGCAAGGTAAATTCGGTCCCAAAAAAAAATATCCACAATCAACCAGCCAAGTTTCCCTCTCTGACCTGCAACCCCATTGGGTACCAAATCGCATTTTAGGACTGGGCTTTACAGGCAGCAGTTGTGAAGGGATGAGGATTTTACAGGCAGCAGTTGTGAAGGGATGAGGGTTTTAAAGGCAGCAGTTGTGAAGGGATGAGAGGTTTACAGGCATCAGTTGTGAAAGGATGAGGGTTTTACAGGCAGTAGTTGTGAAGGGATGAGGGTTTTACAGGCATCAGTTGTGAAGGGATGATGGTTTTACAGGCAGTAGTTGTGAAGGAATGAGAGGTTTACAGGCATCAGTTGTAAAGGGATGAGGGTTTTACAGGCATCAGTTGTGAAGGGATAAGGGTTTTAAAGGCAGCAGTTGTGAAGGGATGAGAGGTTTACAGGCATCAGTTGTGAAGGGATGAGGGTTTTACAGGCAGTAGTTGTGAAGGGATGAGGGTTTTACAGGCAGCGGTTGTGAAGGGATGAGGGTTTTACAGGCAGCAGTTGTAAAGGGATGAGGGTTTTACAGGCAGCAGTTGTAAAGGGATGAGGGTTTTCAGGCAGTAGTTGTGAAGGGATGAGGGTTTTACAGGCAGTAGTTGTGAAGGGATGAGGGTTTTACAGGCAGCAGTTGTAAAGGGATGAGGGTTTTACAGGCATCAGTTGTGAAGGGATGAGGGTTTTACAGGCAGTAGTTGTGAAGGGATGAGGGTTTTACAGGCAGCAGTTGTAAAGGGATGAGGGTTTTACAGGCAGTCGTTGTGAAGGGATGAGGGTTTTACAGGCAGTCGTTGTAAAGGGATGAGGGTTTTACAGGCAGCAGTTGTGAAGGGATGAGGGTTTTACAGGCAGTAGTTGTGAAGGGATGAGGGTTTTACAGGCAGCAGTTGTAAAGGGATGAGGGTTTTACAGGCAGCAGTTGTAAAGGGATGAGGGTTTTACAGGCAGTAGTTGTGAAGGGATGAGGGTTTTACAGGCAGTAGTTGTGAAGGGATGAGGGTTTTACAGGCAGCAGTTGTAAAGGGATGAGGGTTTTACAGGCATCAGTTGTGAAGGGATGAGGGTTTTACAGGCAGTAGTTGTGAAGGGATGAGGGTTTTACAGGCAGCAGTTGTAAAGGGATGAGGGTTTTACAGGCAGTCGTTGTGAAGGGATGAGGGTTTTACAGGCAGTCGTTGTAAAGGGATGAGGGTTTTACAGGCAGCAGTTGTGAAGGGATGAGGGTTTTACAGGCAGCAGTTGTGAAGGGATGAGGGTTTTACAGGCAGTAGTTGTAAAGGGATGAGGGTTTTACAGGCATCAGTTGTGAAGGGATGAGGGTTTTACAGGCAGCAGTTGTAAAGGGATGATGGTTTTACAGGCATCAGTTGTGAAGGGATGAGGGTTTTACAGGCAGTCGTTGTGAAGGGATGAGGGTTTTACAGGCAGCGGTTGTGAAGGGATGAGAGGTTTACAGGCAGCAGTTGTAAAGGGATGAGGGTTTTACAGGCATCAGTTGTGAAGGGATGAGGGTTTTACAGGCATCAGTTGTGAAGGGATGAGGGTTTTACAGGCAGTAGTTGTGAAGGGATGAGGGTTTTACAGGCAGTAGTTGTGAAGGGATGAGGGTTTTACAGGCAGCAGTTGTAAAGGGATGAGGGTTTTACAGGCATCAGTTGTGAAGGGATGAGAGGTTTACAGGCATCAGTTGTGAAGGGATGAGGGTTTTACAGGCATCAGTTGTGAAGGGATGAGGGTTTTACAGGCAGTCGTTGTGAAGGGATGAGGGTTTTACAGGCAGCGGTTGTGAAGGGATGAGAGGTTTACAGGCAGCAGTTGTAAAGGGATGAGGGTTTTACAGGCATCAGTTGTGAAGGGATGAGGGTTTTACAGGCATCAGTTGTGAAGGGATGAGGGTTTTACAGGCAGTAGTTGTGAAGGGATGAGGGTTTTACAGGCAGCAGTTGTAAAGGGATGAGGGTTTTACAGGCATCAGTTGTGAAGGGATGACAGGTTTACAGGCATCAGTTGTGAAGGGATGAGGGTTTTACAGGCAGCAGTTGTGAAGGGATGAGGGTTTTACAGGCAGTCGTTGTGAAGGGATGAGGGTTTTACAGGCATCAGTTGTGAAGGGATGAGGGTTTTACAGGCAGCAGTTGTAAAGGGATGAGGGTTTTACAGGCATCAGTTGTGAAGGGATGAGGGTTTTACAGGCATCAGTTGTGAAGGGATGAGGGTTTTACAGGCAGTAGTTGTGAAGGGATGAGGGTTTTTACAGGCAGCAGTTGTAAAGGGATGAGGGTTTTACAGGCATCAGTTGTGAAGGGATGAGAGGTTTACAGGCATCAGTTGTGAAGGGATGAGGGTTTTACAGGCAGCAGTTGTGAAGGGATGAGGGTTTTACAGGCAGTCGTTGTGAAGGGATGAGGGTTTTACAGGCATCAGTTGTGAAGGGATGAGGGTTTTACAGGCATCAGTTGTGAAGGGATGAGGGTTTTACAGGCATCAGTTGTGAAGGGATGAGGGTTTTACAGGCAGTCGTTGTGAAGGGATGAGGGTTTTACAGGCAGTCGTTGTGAAGGGATGAGGGTTTTACAGGCAGCAGTTGTAAAGGGATGAGGGTTTTACAGGCAGTAGTTGTGAAGGGATGAGGGTTTTACAGGCAGCAGTTGTAAAGGGATGAGGGTTTTACAGGCATCAGTTGTGAAGGGATGAGAGGTTTACAGGCATCAGTTGTGAAGGGATGAGGGTTTTACAGGCATCAGTTGTGAAGGGATGAGGGTTTTACAGGCAGTCGTTGTGAAGGGATGAGGGTTTTACAGGCAGCGGTTGTGAAGGGATGAGAGGTTTACAGGCAGCAGTTGTAAAGGGATGAGGGTTTTACAGGCATCAGTTGTGAAGGGATGACGGTTTTACAGGCATCAGTTGTGAAGGGATGAGGGTTTTACAGGCAGTAGTTGTGAAGGGATGAGGGTTTTACAGGCAGCAGTTGTAAAGGGATGAGGGTTTTACAGGCATCAGTTGTGAAGGGATGAGAGGTTTACAGGCATCAGTTGTGAAGGGATGAGGGTTTTACAGGCAGCAGTTGTGAAGGGATGAGGGTTTTACAGGCAGTCGTTGTGAAGGGATGAGGGTTTTACAGGCATCAGTTGTGAAGGGATGAGGGTTTTACAGGCAGCAGTTGTAAAGGGATGAGGGTTTTACAGGCATCAGTTGTGAAGGGATGAGGGTTTTACAGGCATCAGTTGTGAAGGGATGAGGGTTTTACAGGCAGTAGTTGTGAAGGGATGAGGGTTTTACAGGCATCAGTTGTGAAGGGATGAGGGTTTTACAGGCATCAGTTGTGAAGGGATGAGGGTTTTACAGGCAGTCGTTGTGAAGGGATGAGGGTTTTACAGGCAGTCGTTGTGAAGGGATGAGGGTTTTACAGGCATCAGTTGTGAAGGGATGAGGGTTTTACAGGCAGTCGTTGTGAAGGGATGAGGGTTTTACAGGCAGTCGTTGTGAAGGGATGAGGGTTTTACAGGCAGTAGTTGTAAAGGGATGAGGGTTTTACAGGCAGTCGTTGTGAAGGGATGAGGGTTTTACAGGCAGTCGTTGTGAAGGGATGAGGGTTTTACAGGCAGTAGTTGTAAAGGGATGAGGGTTTTACAGGCATCAGTTGTGAAGGGATGAGGGTTTTACAGGCATCAGTTGTGAAGGGATGAGGGTTTTACAGGCAGCAGTTGTGAAGGGATGAGGGTTTTACAGGCAGCAGTTGTAAAGGGATGAGGGTTTTACAGGCAGCAGTTGTGAAGGGATGAGGATTTACAGGCAGTCGTTGTGAAGGGATGAGGGTTTTACAGGCAGTCGTTGTGAAGGGATGAGGGTTTTACAGGCAGCAGTTGTAAAGGGATGAGGGTTTTACAGGCAGTAGTTGTGAAGGGATGAGGGTTTTACAGGCAGCAGTTGTAAAGGGATGAGGGTTTTACAGGCATCAGTTGTGAAGGGATGAGAGGTTTACAGGCATCAGTTGTGAAGGGATGAGGGTTTTACAGGCATCAGTTGTGAAGGGATGAGGGTTTTACAGGCAGTCGTTGTGAAGGGATGAGGGTTTTACAGGCAGCGGTTGTGAAGGGATGAGAGGTTTACAGGCAGCAGTTGTAAAGGGATGAGGGTTTTACAGGCATCAGTTGTGAAGGGATGAGGGTTTTACAGGCATCAGTTGTGAAGGGATGAGGGTTTTACAGGCAGTAGTTGTGAAGGGATGAGGGTTTTACAGGCAGCAGTTGTAAAGGGATGAGGGTTTTACAGGCATCAGTTGTGAAGGGATGAGAGGTTTACAGGCATCAGTTGTGAAGGGATGAGGGTTTTACAGGCAGCAGTTGTGAAGGGATGAGGGTTTTACAGGCAGTCGTTGTGAAGGGATGAGGGTTTTACAGGCATCAGTTGTGAAGGGATGAGGGTTTTACAGGCAGCAGTTGTAAAGGGATGAGGGTTTTACAGGCATCAGTTGTGAAGGGATGAGGGTTTTACAGGCATCAGTTGTGAAGGGATGAGGGTTTTACAGGCAGTAGTTGTGAAGGGATGAGGGTTTTACAGGCAGCAGTTGTAAAGGGATGAGGGTTTTACAGGCATCAGTTGTGAAGGGATGAGAGGTTTACAGGCATCAGTTGTGAAGGGATGAGGGTTTTACAGGCAGCAGTTGTGAAGGGATGAGGGTTTTACAGGCAGTCGTTGTGAAGGGATGAGGGTTTTACAGGCATCAGTTGTGAAGTGATGAGGGTTTTACAGGCATCAGTTGTGAAGGGATGAGGGTTTTACAGGCATCAGTTGTGAAGGGATGAGGGTTTTACAGGCAGTCGTTGTGAAGGGATGAGGGTTTTACAGGCAGTCGTTGTGAAGGGATGAGGGTTTTACAGGCAGTAGTTGTAAAGGGATGAGGGTTTTACAGGCATCAGTTGTGAAGGGATGAGGGTTTTACAGGCAGTCGTTGTGAAGGGATGAGGGTTTTACAGGCAGTCGTTGTGAAGGGATGAGGGTTTTACAGGCAGTAGTTGTAAAGGGATGAGGGTTTTACAGGCAGTCGTTGTGAAGGGATGAGGGTTTTACAGGCAGTCGTTGTGAAGGGATGAGGGTTTTACAGGCAGTAGTTGTAAAGGGATGAGGGTTTTACAGGCATCAGTTGTGAAGGGATGAGGGTTTTACAGGCATCAGTTGTGAAGGGATGAGGGTTTTACAGGCAGCAGTTGTGAAGGGATGAGGGTTTTACAGGCAGTAGTTGTGAAGGAATGAGGGTTTTACAGGCAGCAGTTGTAAAGGGATGAGGGTTTTACAGGCAGTCGTTGTGAAGGGATGAGGGTTTTACAGGCAGTCGTTGTGAAGGGATGAGGGTTTTACAGGCAGTAGTTGTAAAGGGATGAGGGTTTTACAGGCATCAGTTGTGAAGGGATGAGGGTTTTACAGGCAGTAGTTGTAAAGGGATGAGGGTTTTACAGGCAGTCGTTGTGAAGGGATGAGGGTTTTACAGGCAGTCGTTGTGAAGGGATGAGGGTTTTACAGGCAGTAGTTGTAAAGGGATGAGGGTTTTACAGGCATCAGTTGTGAAGGGATGAGGGTTTTACAGGCATCAGTTGTGAAGGGATGAGGGTTTTACAGGCAGCAGTTGTGAAGGGATGAGGGTTTTACAGGCAGTAGTTGTGAAGGAATGAGGGTTTTACAGGCAGCAGTTGTAAAGGGATGAGGGTTTTACAGGCAGTCGTTGTGAAGGGATGAGGGTTTTACAGGCAGTCGTTGTGAAGGGATGAGGGTTTTACAGGCAGTAGTTGTAAAGGGATGAGGGTTTTACAGGCATCAGTTGTGAAGGGATGAGGGTTTTACAGGCATCAGTTGTGAAGGGATGAGGGTTTTACAGGCATCAGTTGTGAAGGGATGAGGGTTTTACAGGCAGCAGTTGTAAAGGGATGAGGGCTGAAACCCATGAATGCCACTGCACCAGGAAAGGCCCTGCACGAGGCGCAAGCCTGTCAATCGGTAAGGCTCAAGTCACTTGCTCATTCACTCATAGTCTGGGGCCACTGAGGCAGAGTCCACGTGTCCGAACGAGAGGGCTCTGTTGCTCCGGCGCTTTTACTTGCATTTCGGTTGTTCGTACCGGCAAACCGGGAGGGCCAGCAGCTCCTTGGTCTCCTCTCTCGCCGGCAGCACCCTAGAGCATCCAAACACACGGCTCTTAAGTCCCATCATGTATAATGGATGGCACTTACACCTCAGGCAGGGAGCAAAGTGGAAGCGATGATGCCGTCGGAGCACTCAAGAGTTTAGCGCGTAGGGCTGTGACGATCGTGAAGGGCTCGGCAGAGGAGCACCGAGTGCGGGGATCCATAGTTAAAGTGTAGGCACTCTCATATATGGGGCCAGCCCGCAAGCTCTCCACTCCGCCGTTTGCAGCGCGTGCCATGGCGAAGCGGAACACGGAGCGAGAGGACACTCGGGTGGAGACTCTTTTAGGAGCCCAATGGCTGAGCCGATGGGTGCTTTTCGGCCTCTCGTAAACAAAAAAAAGAAAACCGAGACCATGTGCAGTGGTGGGCACAAGTGACCACAATTGCCACTGATTGTAGCCAATATGTGTTTCGTAATGACCGCCTGATTGCTCCTCTCGTCAGTTGCATCCACGCACGCTCCCACAGTGAAAAGCAAACGCAACTCGGAAGGCCCCTGATGTTCATGAAGCGTTCCATTTGTGAAAAGAACTTATCGCCTTATGCCGCTACCCCTCAAACCGTGCGACAGCATTGCCAATACGCAGTTATATGGATGCCAGAAACAATTGTGTCCTTGAGGCATTTATGAACAACGTACTTATTCAACAAGGGATGTGACTTGGAGACGGTAATTCTAAAACGACTGAGGCCGGGCTACGTAGACGTTGACTGCACACGCGTCCCTTTGAGTGTTCGCGTCACTTGTTTAGCTATGACTGAATTTATCGTGTACATTTGCATTAGTTACATTCAGCCGGATCATTCATATATATATTTTACAAGATCGTTTTATTTCCCCCCCACCTACCGTTTATTATGTTTACGCTGTCGAGGATACGATCGACCAATCAACGTAAAATATATATTTTCGACGCCTTGACACCCGGTTCAGATTTTTTTGCACGCACAAACGAAAACTGACAATGACGACATTTATTACTTATGAGCTACATTATTTACGTGATTACGTTTAAAAACAAAACAAAGGGTTTTACTTGAATATCTGTGCACTGCGTTTTGAACCTTTGCCGCCTGGGTTTGAATCCCAGCCACCGCTAACATCATTGGCGAGCGTTATCTTAACTGGACATGGGTGGCTTCTACTACCAACCAGCCTGACCAGCGCGGTGAAGTATGACCACACACCCTCAATGACCAACGTTGGGGGTGTGCAATACCGTCATCCAGCAGTGGATTGACAAAGGACCGCAGACTTACATGGAAACGAGCTATGGAAAGGTACTCCACACTATCTCCATTATGAAGTTCTTAGAACCGTACTCGCTTTAAGAAACGCGTTAACTCTTATCTATGATTTAAAGCTTTCGTGACTGCAGTAATTCATATTCTTAGCTCTTTTGGTAAAGTCACGTTGAAGGGAAACAATAAAATAATAAAATATATAAAAAAATAAAAAAATTTCACGACGTTTCGACCATAACACAAACGGTCGTCATCAGGTGTGTCGGTTTGCATAAATGTATTTTTAAACGGAGTATTTATTTATTTAAAAAAATAAAATTAATAAAATAAATAAATACACCGTTTAAAAATAAATACATTTATGCAAACCGACACACCTGATGACGACCGTTTGTGTTATGGTCGAAACGTCGTGAGAATTTTTATTGTTATATATATTATTATTTTATTGTTTCCCTTCAACTTGACTTTACGGAAAGAGCTAAGAATATCTTATCTATGACTCATTCCATAGTGCTGTTTGTTGCTGGCGACTCGGTGCTTTTGGGTCTTTGGGCCTGCGCTCACCAATCGCGATAAAAAAAAACAGGCAAAGTATGGTAGTAATATACCCAAGGACGCACATGGCGCCTGGAGGCGTTCATCCAGCATTCTGATCGACGGAGGACTAAAACATGGAATGAAAATATATGCTGCGTCGGGAAATGGAAGCACTGGAAATGCACAAGGCAAGCTGCGGGCGCGATGCAAAGCAGTCCTGTGGCATGACCTTGTTTCAAAGGGGGCCAAGAAAAACTCGGGAGGGCGCGCAGCAGAGTCGATGTTAAACAACCTTGAAACACATGTTCAACGCCGAACAGAAGCATGCCGATACGATCAGCGTTCGTCCGTCGCACATCCTGCTCTCGCTCTGATCCCCATGTATTCGGACATCTGTGAAAAAGAGCTTTATAGCTCGTCGGATTCCTCCGCTATGAGTGAATATTCCGATTCTGATTCCATGTATTCGGGGGGAAGGCTGCGACACCCCATCGCTTCATTGTAACCATTTGAGGATTTTTGTCCGGCAGCCTGCAAACCATTGGGGGCAGTTTGTACGTCGAATGAAGCTCGCAAATTACGGAGAAAGCCCACCACTGCTATTACAATTACATGGATTTAGTAGGGGGGCTGAGCTAAGGGGGTGGTGGAAGGAGGGGGTTGTGGTCCTGATATGTGATACGTCCAGTATTTGTAAACAGGGCCATAAATGAATCATGATAAGAAAAAAATAATTTAACTGTGGTAAATATCAATTTAAAAAAAAACTAAATTGTGGGAGGAGGGGGGGGTGGAGTCCTATTGGCAGGGGACAAGTGCAGGGACGAGATCGAGGCAGGCGGTGCCGTTAGAGGGGAGCAGCTGAGGGGGAGGGGCGGAGGTGGCGGGGGCGGTACCTTGTTGCCGTCACGGCCGCTGGGCCCTGCTGTGCCCGCGTGGCCTTTGTCCCCCTTAAGGCCGGGCAGCCCGGGGAAGCCCGGGGGCCCCGGGGGACAGTCGGTGCACGCGTCCTGGCAAGACGCGGAGAAAAGTTAGAAGGTCCGGGAGACTTTACCGCCGCGCGGTTGCGAGGTATTGCTATGTTGACGGTGCTGAAGAACCACAAATAACAACAACTCAGCACATTTGTCAAGGACTCCGCCATGAAATGGAAATGTTATACAATACAACAAGCGGAATATTGGGCAACGGTCCCTCCTTATGGCTCGTCTGCAACGAAGACGGACAAATGCCTGACACGTCACCTATTGTATGCGTTCGTTCTCTTCAGGGCAGTGTGTTTGACGAATGTGTCGAGTTTTCACAAATGAATCCTTCATTAGGTGGCTGGGTGGCTCAGAGGTCAAAGCAATCGGTCAGCATTGCTGACACGGTGGGTTTGAATCAAGGTTTCTGCCACCCATGGTTAAACTTGGTCCTTAACTCTGGTGAGTTGATGGCCTTAGCCCTGCCACCAAATAATGTACAAAAAACCCATCACATTCACAGATTAAAAAACAAATTACAGCACTGATAAAAAAAAGACATTGGTTTTGACTGCAATACAACAAATGATACTTTGAATCAGTGCGTGGGGGGAAAGTGAGCCTCCCCTGCCCCAGTGCGGGGTAAAAATGTACACTAGAAGGATCTGTTGTGTGGTTAAAAATGATCACTAGAAGGATCTGCTGTGTGGTTAAAAATGGGCACTGGAAGGATCTACTGTGTGGTTAAAAATGGTCAAAAGGATCTGCTGTGGTTAAAAATGGTCACAAGAAGGATCTGTTGTGTGGTTAAAAATGGGCACTAGAAGAATCTGCTGTGTGGTTAAAAATGGGCACTGGAAGGTTCTATGACGAGGTTCTGTGATATATCTGCTTCTGCGCATCGCTAACACGCAGGGTACAACGCTTCCCTGCGTGTTAGCGCAATTAAAGCGTGCAAGAAGGTAATATAGTTACGTCTGTACATTTCACGGAACACATGTAACCACACTGAGAAAGGATTCTGGAATTGTCTTTTATCTGACGATAGGACCTAACGTGTGTCGCTTGTGATGTCACCGCGCAGCTCGCTCAGCAAACATCACTCTGCATCAATTTATCCAGCGGTTTCCTTGGCAGCTCGGGGAAGCTGTGCGCGGATTAAACGGAAACAAAGAACAACCACTCCGTCGGCGTAGTTTTCAGTGCTAAATGGGGGAAATTTAAGGCGCATCACGTCAAGCGATTGTAAAAACGACGGCAGGTGCCAACATTTAGATTCCACCTGCAGCAACTTGCCCTCTCCATAACATTTCCAATTCACTTTAACCGAAAACAAACGGGCTCGTGTTTCCACACAATCTAATAACGCCGCGCAACTTGCCGGGTTTTTTTCTTCTTCCGCGAAGCGGCTTGAGATGCAGTCGCATTCGGACTGCGCTGTGAACTCGAACCGCACTGCATTTGCGCCGGATTCAATGAAAGCGTCTGTTCCGAGAGCAGCTTCCCCCGCACGTGGCTTACCTTCAGGAAGTTGGTGACGTCTTTCGGGTACAACAACGGATGTGGATGCTGGACACGAGATGTAATTCCATTAGTAAAGGGTGGGGGGGGGGGAGGATGGAAAAGCAACAAAGTAAATTTTGTGAGTGCCATTGCTTCATCAAGGCTCACGAGCTGCCACACCATAAATCACATTTCAGAAAGTACTGCCACATTAATGAGATTAATCCGGAAAAAGTAAATTACACGATTTAATATTTCATCTGTTTAGATTGAATTATCTCCGAGCCATCAAAGTACATACGCCTTGTTTAAATGTAGGCAACGCGCCCTTGGTGATTCTGCTGCTCTGCTGTTTGAACTGGCGGTGATTAATAACCCGCGCGCGGTTCTGGGCGGCGGGCACACTTCCGTTGGCAAATTAAGAGAATACCTACTGCTTCTCCTGGTGGGCCGGGGGGGCCCGGAATGCCATCCTTTCCTGCGGGACCCTGTAAAACACGGACACAATGTTTGTGACGTAAGCCAGTGCTCATCGCAACAGCACGACAAGGAGACGATCTGTTTCACTTTAGCCATCCTCGCATTCATATGCATTGCAAATGGACAGGTGTTTGTTTTTTTGTATTATCACGCTTGTGCAGCCAGGAATGCCCCAACCTAGTCTCTCTCGTCCTTTTCGGGAGGGTCATGCCACGTTTTCGCCAGGAGGGGGCGATACTTGCTTCATGTAATCCTTCATTGAGTCCTGCCGCGCTTCGTGCTCATGTTTTTGAATTGTTCAACGTGACTTTAGCTGTGTCGGGTGACGGTGGGTTTACGATACACGCTTTGTTCACGCGATCTGACTCAAAACATCAATTATGAAACATTCCTTTAGTTTTTGGTAACTTATTAAAACAATTTAACTATAAAGAAAAGTTTCAATGCTCGGAAACATGCCGACGCTTTGATAACATAATCGGCTTTCGCCGATTTACGTCTTTACACATAGTTGCGAGTTTTGTACTCCAATTCAGTTCATAGCGATGCAGCATCATGCGATGCAGTTGTATTTAGCCACTTCATAACCCCAATGCGCAATCGTATAGGTAAAGGTGCAGCGCTGGGATTGATTGCTGATGCCACTGCAAACAGAACGACTTCACTCTTTGGTTTTTTCGGTAAAGTCACGTAGAAATAAGAAATAATAAAATTACATAATAGCGTACGTGACTTTACCGAAAAAAAACAAAGAGTAATTCCTGCAGTCACGAAAGCGCCAAATCGAGTTAGAACGACTTCAATCAGACAGTTTTATAGAAAGTCGAGAGAGTATGGGGCCTAATCGACCCACTATGGCCAAGGGTCTCAGAAGGGGCGGCAAAAGCTACACTTGGACCCCACCGCACACGATCTGCCGAAGGACTTTGGTCGTGCATATTTATACGGCAGGGTGGACAGAGGTGGAGGGGATTCATGAAAGACGAACCGGCGAACTCTGGATCGCAAGCCCAGCATGCTAACCGTTATCGCACTCCACAACGTTCCGCCGCAAATTAGACGCAGTCGCACGAAATCGGTGAGTTGCGAGTGGTCAATCCAACGTAAACTTTGAGGAACTCGTACGAGCGGTAAGGGTACAATGTTTGTCCAGTTATGCAGCGAAACTGATAACGGAAGGGTCATCCACACCAATCGGGCGGTAAGAAATAGTCCGGAGCGCCAAGCATTAAATGAAGCGCCTACAGCAGTGGTTCTTAACTGTCACGGCAGCCTTGAACCCCTTTGGTTCTTAATCGTTAAAACATTTACTATGTCAATAAACACATCGGTTTGATGAAACAATGTAGTCGTGCTCACGCGCCCGTGCTTAATTTGCGTTTCGATAATTCACCTTCGAAAAAAACATATGGCCATGTCTGGGCACCCCGAGAAAGGGATCGTGCGAACCCGCAGGGAAAGCGCATGCACCCCAGGTTAAGAACCACTGGTCGACAGCTAGAAGCCCGGCGCCCCGGCCGAACTGCGCTCTGGCTGGGTCTCGGAATCGCACTCTGGCCGGGCGGAGAGCGCGAGCCAATTTCTACACGAGGTCACTGCGACCCCAAGCAGGGACGCTTCGAAACGCGGAGGGCTTATGCCAACGTGACAGGCCATCGGCCTCTTTTTTTTTTTACAGTCACGACCGGGTCGCCGAGGGCTACGTTTAAATGGCCCACGCTCCTTAAAATCAGCGTGATAATTTCAGCGTAATGGGGGCCAACGGGAGGAGCAGCGGCTCCTGACGCAGCGCCCCTCCGCCCCCTCCATGGCCTGGGTCGTGACAAACAAGGCGAGGCCAGCCTGACGGAAAAAAAAAACTGAAATTTAAACCGTGGCGGCTTGGCTCGTGGTGGTGGTGGTGGTGTGACGCGTGACCCCTCCCCCCCTCCCCCCCGAGAGACATTTTCCGCATGGGTGCGTCGCTGATGAGGCGTTGTGCCCTCGCACGGATCCCAGTTAGCGCTGAGAAATCGTGTCCTCCCTCCCACTCACGTCGAGGCCTGCCATCCCTGGAGGGCCCGCAACTCCCGGCGGGCCTCTCTGTCCCTGAAGGAACAGAAATGGTTTTCCAGTTATTGCGGTCAACAGAGCTGGTATACATACGCGCGACGTCGATCAGTTTAACGGAAAAAAATTTAAGAAAAAAAACCCATCATAGAATTCCAGCGCAAGATTGATCGTCGTATTTTTTTGTTGTTGATGATGATGAACATTTTTTAGAAAAAAAAATATTACCGGTAATTACACTGATTAATTACAGGGATTAATTTAAACTCCACAATGTGTGGCAAAATTATTCGTTTGGAACTGTTATTCCCTCGACAGCTGTGTCCAATACAGCTAATTGAAAGATTTATGGTTTTCCATGAAATTCACATTAAATATATTTGACATGGCTGACAGAACCTCCCAGGAAAATCCAGCGCTCACTGATTCAGCTCCACATCCAATGGTAACACGGAGCTCAGCATTTGCAATGTTTAGAGTGGTTTAAATTAATTTAGAACGACAACATATATGTACTGGAGAGATTCACCTACATGCATCTCTTTTTTAGAATGAGATCTGTGCATTCGATACACAAACTGAATAGGCCGCCCTAAGTCTTTGAACATTTTACGGGGTCAGTTGTAATGGAATTTTAGCAAGGTGGCCAGGTTCATCACCTCCATTGTTTATTGAATAGCGGGGAGGGATTGTTATTTTATTAAGTTGCCAGGATCTCAGTTTGACATTTCTACTGAACGGCAATTCCGTATGCAATGCATTATTTCTTGTAGCCCCATGCTGAGCAACTGCCAAATATCAGAGACCGAGGAGTCATATTGAACGTGACGAAAGTCAGTGGTGCCACGGTGGCGAGATCATAACTATCTCGCCTGGCATACAGGAGGTCGTGGGTTTGATCCCGACCATGACGCCTGCTGACGCCTGCTGTATATTTGGAGATTGCATATTCTCCCCATGGTCGTGTAGATTTTACTCCAGGTCCTCCGGTTTTTCCCTTCACATTTAAAATCAACGTTGCCACTTTGTTGAGCTACCATTTGCGGCCAGGTCGCTTGTGAAAAAGGGATACATAGCTCAGTGGGCCTTACCTGGTAAAATAAAAATTGTTAAAATAGTTAGTAGTTCGTTTCATTGACGACCACCAGTTGTGTCAAAGTGACTGATCCACGATCATCTCCCTATACACTCACTGATCACGCTTGGCTTCGAGACATAGGTTACACGTGTCCTTAACAATACGCAGATTTTTACCTGCCGCCCTTCATGTCCGGGATCTCCACGTTGACCCTGTTAGGGATACGCAAACACAAAAATAGTAATACAGCATTAATAATACTCATGTACATACCCAGGGAAGCCTCACTGGGTGCCAAGATATTGAGAGAAAGGTCTCAAATTCGGATGTTTGGCCAAATCCAATAATGGTATTTTTTTTATTTAACGTGGGAATAAACTGCGATGCCCAGAGAAAACTGATGCAAACGGTGGGAGGGGGGGGGGGTAAATCTCAAAGCACAGCACTGAGAGAAATTCATAAAAAGAAACATTTTGGTCTGCCATCTCCTAGTTACTTAGTCGCTCCTAGTTACTTAGTCTGCTTATCTTCTGAGATCTGATGCTGTCTTGTGCAATCAGGGTGATTCTGGCTGCAGCCAGAACTTTTACATTCAGAATATTAGTGACAACAAGACAAATTCTCGAGGGTAGCGCTAAAAATTCAATGCTCCACCAATAAAAAGACTTAACAGGACTCAATTTTGGGAATCTTGAAATTGCAATGTCTGTCTAGACAAAGCATCATAGGTCACCTGCTGAACACAGAGAGATAAACACTGACCTAGCACACGGTTTCTGTGGAGATAGCACTGGGGCTTGGCTACTGCGAGCATCACCGTCCTAATGGAAGTCATGTCCTGCACACTGAATGCCCTGTTGCAGCTTTTCCAACTCGAGACGTCACAGGGCACTCATCGTAGACAGCCAAGACGTGCGATGCAGGTGTCTGTCTGGCATCTGTGGGGCAGCGGTGGCGTTGGCATATGTATGTACGCTGAACTTCTCTCGCACCGCACATAGCCAGCCGTGCTAATCGGAGGTGCGGGGGAAGGACAACAACACTAGAAACAGAAAGCAGTTCTAAAGAAATGAGTTTTCAATTTAGATGTAAAAGTGCATAGTTCCAGCGGCCTCTTAATATCGGAAGGAAGAGCGTTCCAGATGGCCGCAGATGCGCATCTGGAAGCACCGCGCGATGCGGTGATCACCGTCTTTGTTCGATGGCTAAGCTAGAGCTGAGGGCCCCAAGTCGTATAACTTAACACATCTCTTCCGCAGCTCTTTTCTCTCATCCCCCCACATCTCTAGCGGTTGTTTACATCACATCCGACAAATCGCTAGGCGTTTAAAAGTTGAAAGGGGTGGGGCAGGGGTTTGGCGGGAGCATCGAAAATTAATTTCTGCTTTGGGCCACCCCAAGGAGCCAGCACCGCCACTGCCTGGTGTCCTCTTGGCGAGAGGCAGGTGCCTGCAAAGCTTTTAATCTTCAGTGAAGGGAGGAAAGTTGAAAAACAAAAATTAAGCTTCGGATTAGTACTTCATGTACACTTTTAATCATTAATGCTCGTAAGTGCGTTTCGTAGCCGGCGTCCCATGCCGTGCACATTAGGGCCATGCGGATGAATGTGGTCTGTAATGGCTCTTTAATGCATAAGTGGATCTAATTCACCGATTTACATTAACTTTGCATTTGGCTCGAGAGCATCTCTTTTGCATTTGACTTAAGCCTCGAAGCGCATTTGCGCGGTCCTCGCTGGGCACGCGTCGGAGTTTATCTGCTGGCGGGGGTTCGGCGGCTCCATCTGATTCTAGAGGGGGGGGGGGGCAGGGGGTGGAGTGACCGTGCATGAGATCCAATCTCTGCAATCAGTGGGCGTGCGGAGCGAGGTCACAGCCCCCCCCACCTAACCTCCACCCCTCGCCCCACACGCTCTGCAGCTGCCACGCGCCCTCGCAGGGTGAAAATGCGCGTTCCTTTTTCAGTCGGCATCAACAAACACATCGAGGAAAATTACATGGAAAGCGAAGAGAGAAAGAGACGATTAAAAACATCCCACGTCCGCTCAGGTTGAGCTGTTGGCCTGCGGATATGCCCCACACGTCCCCCCCCCCCATCCCACGGCGGCACCGTACTGATGAAACGCTCGGAATAGAGTCTAATGGTAATGCCCCTCTAAGCCAAATGGAAAGGCAGATTCCCGAGCAGCCCTTAAAAAAGTAGAAAAAAATGATTTCCTGAACCAAAAATGGCATTGAGGTGGTGCTTATTTGCTGTTTGCAGCCATGCGCCAGTGGTGAAAATTCCACATTGCTATGGCTGGCTAAGTCTAGCCATAGAAAAACCACTGCTGACTTTCCCACAAAGTGGTGAATCATTTAAAAGATCCCCCCCCCAGCGGGTTTACAGGCTGAGTCAACCTCCAAATCAGGATTTGAACTTCAAAACTACTTTTCAATTCTTAGCCGCCCAGTCAGCCACCAGCCCACCTTGCCAGTCAGACATTGTTTAAGTAGAAAAAGGACGAACATCACAGGGCAATGGTGGTGGAGCAAAACGCAACAGCTTAGCCCAGAACGGCATTCCTACTGGACGGGGACGTGCCCCCCCCCCCCCCCCCCACAGAGCTCCCCCCCCAAACTCTACTTATTTTGGGATATAAATTACGGGGCGCGGAGAGAAAAATTGTCCGTAACGCCCACACATGATGGCTTGCCCCTTCCAAGGAGTGCCGCGAGACCACGAGTACCACGCCCCAACGTCTCCCCATGAAGGATGCCTTGAGGTTGTTTTTTTTCTTCCTCCCCTTCCGATGCGGCTTGGGGAGGTTGGAGATTGTAACGGGAATTCGCCCGAAGTGATTGCCTCATTCGTGGGCCACCCGGAGGCTCGGGAGAGCTGAGCGGCAGTCACCGAGCGATGATTGATGCGAGGACGGAAACGGGGGAAGGCAGGGGAGAGGAGTGTGTGTCTCACCGGAGGTCCAGGGGCACCTATCCCAGGTAGTCCTCTCTCACCAGGGAGGCCGATGGGACCTGCCAAGCCTCTCTCGCCCTGCCGAGCGACAGGAGAAGGTGCAGCGCGTCTCGTAAAAATCAGAACGGAAAAACAAACAAATAATAAACAATGCCTTTGACCGGCGGCGGCAGTGGTTGAGAGACAGTGGGTTCACACAAATCAAATATCTGGGAACGATGAGAAGCTGGAACCGCCGAAATGGTGGAACACCAGGAGATGTTTCAGGAAGACAATGAGCTAACGCATGCAAATACAATATATCCATTAACCCAGAAAATCGAACCAAGGGAGGGTGTCCGTGTGGTTTTGGTGGCTCAGACATTGATCGTGAACATTATTGGAAGGGGCAGTGGAGACCTGGTGGAATTACCGTGGCAGGGTATACATTTGGGATTTTGGGTGTCCACTTAACATAATGACAATTTATTAGTTGTGAGACCTCAATGAAAAAACGGAAAAAGAGGGACCAGGCCATTAATGCTCTAGAAGTCTCATAACATTTTCCTGTACCCAAAATGCCCTCAACCCAACAGACAGGACCCAGACTCAGATATTTTGATATCGATATGTTTTTACTCAGTCCTGCACGTGCAATTCCTTGCGACCCTAAGCTCGCATCTGTGGAGAAAACATTAGATTGTACTCTCGTTTCCCCCTGGATGTAAAAAAAAACACATTGCTTTTCGTAAGTAAGGGAAAAATGAATAATGTGGCTTTGTGTCTGTGACTTACAGAGGGACCTGGTGGTCCTGAAGGCCCTGCTCTGCCTGGGTCACCCTGGGGAATAAAGAAATCAAAATCAACACTGAGGTCACGTGCGTTATGAGCAGAGGTGTAATAATGCACAAGCCCGTCAAATTAACGAATTGTCGGAGGTTCAAAACAACGATTTTTACGCCGAGGTGACCGTCGCGGTCACTTGTGGTTGCGCTGGAGTGGTCTTGTAAACGACGTGAGCATGCGACATGTGTGAATTGAAACGTGTCAATTGTTTCACGTGCAAATCGATACATGCTTCGTGGGCTTGAAATAAACTTCAATTGATGAATCGATGTCCCACTAGTTCTTAGCAAAAGCTAATGTCATTAAATAAAATATTTGGTGATTAATTTGTTGAGCCTTACGTCATTAAAGCATCATTATAATAATCACCATCAACATAATTACTTATGATGAAAATATGTATGTTGAACTACGTACGCACCATTTGTAGCCAACCGTGCTAATCGGAGGTGCAGGGGAAGGACAACAAACTAAACACAAAAAGCAGTTCTGTATATTGCACCTCCCTTGCTGTACATTTGCAGATGCCAGAACAAATGAGTATTTGATATCAAGAAAGTGATTGCAAAGCAAAGCACAACATTCAAAAGCAAAACCGTACCAACAATATTCAGAACAAATGAGAACGGAGAGCTCAAATGTGAGGAAGTCTTCAAATTCGCAGCGTCCGGCTTCCAAAGGGGCTCACGTGAAAATGGCTAAGAGCCTCCGCCCAATTAACCCAGGGCCTTTGCATGCCCCGTCAGCAAAATATCTGATTACTGCCATTAGTTTAGTCTGATTTTTTTACATTTTATATTAATTATCGTCTTAATCTTGTCAAAGACAAACTATGAAATTTTAGCCAAGTCTCAGTATGTGAATTTCATCGAGTCATTATCTTGGTCTAGTCGACTGAAGGAGTAGAAATTTTGTTATTAAATGTTTGTGTGAGCATGTATTCCCCCCCTCCACCAAAATATTAACATGTCAGCCAATCAGTGAACTCAGTAAATATTTGTTTATATGTACACAGCTGAATACCATGCTTGGCATTCCACAGAGCAGCGTGGTCTCTAAAAACTCGTAAATTCCGTCTCGTCGTAGCCAGACATGCTTGGCGGGACTTCATCGCCATCATCTCTCGCTCGATGATTTTTGTCCGCTCACAGTCATCGCTGACTTCGAGTCAAAAACCGCTCAGTCGACGAATAACATCATCACTCACTTCGTTAACACTGCCGATTGCCCAGCAGCTTGGGTGTTCGGTGTCTGAGTGCACGGCCTGTGGCCACCTGGCGTGGGTCAGAGGGGGCCTAAACATTGTCCTGGCTTAGGGCCCGGAGTGCCCGGGGATCCACGGCTGGTTGCCCTCACCGTCACGCCAGTCTTGCCCAGCCCCGGCTGCCCAACCTCCCCTGGGGTGCCAGGAGGCCCCTGAGGACCTGGCATCCCCTGCGCACCGGGCAGCCCCTCGTTGCCCTGAAAAGAAACAAATACAGAACCATAATAATAATAATAACGATGCCAATTGTTTACCGCGGAAAGACTCAAAGGCCCATTTTTTTAGAAGGCGACTCAACCTGGAACCTGGATGCTGATGTGGTGTAGTGGTCCGCACCCTGGATTGGCAATGCACAGGTCACCGGGTTCAATATCTCGGTGATGAAATTTAAACAATGGAGCAAGTTTCTTAAAATCTGCTCGCCACTCTTCACTCAGCACCAAAATAAACGGGTGCATCGCAGTTAGTCGATCGGCAGGTCACGTTTGGTTGGTTGAAGTGTAAGTACTGCCATTTATTCCAATAACATCTGGCCTGCGTGGAAGAGCAGGGCTAATACATCTCTAGAGGGTCTCTCAAGCACTCCTACGAGTGGAGACCATTCTGCCAGCTGTGGCAGGGCTGTACTTTTAGCTTTATCCACTTTACTAAACTGGGATGTTCGTCCAATATCCTACTGAGTGTTTGGCATTTAGGCTAAAAACTGCAATAGCCAGTGAAAAAACTTACTTCACGCGAAGTGGTGACACTCGGCACTGGCGTTTTGTGTCTATAACAAGCTTACAACACCTATCGTAAGCCCGAGTGGTCACCCATGCAATAATACTAACCAGGCACACGCCTGGTTAGTTTCCAAGATGCAATGATATTGGTGGCATTTCAGACGATTGCCTTACATGACAACGTGTCAGCAACCACACCGCGTGATATTTTTGCTCGACATTACACATTTCATAACCAGCTTAATTTATTTCTAAATAATATATTTGAATAGAAAAAGCACCACTCACCTTCTCACCTTTCATCCCATCAAGGCCCTGTGGGCCAAGAGGTCCAATGGCCCCCTGCAAAAAGAATATCGAATCATGAGAATTCTAATTTAAAATGACATACTGCACTAATGGTCAGAACACTTCTAGACTGAAGTCGGTTCAGGTCGCCCAGAATAAATGGAGCAACTAATTATCAACAGTAAAAGTTCCTCAAGAAGGTCACAAGTTCACCCGCGTGAAACTCATCAAGCACACAATATATCTCTGTGGGTTCTCGCGGTCGTGCTGTGCATGTCTCCAATTTGTTTTCGCGATGTGTGCCTCGTGTTGATCGGCACGACGTCCGACGTTTCGCTCCACGTGCTGGGAGCTAGCTTCTTTGGGAAACTGACCAATGCATTGCAACCCCCCCCCCAAAAAAAAAAAACTACTTTGGGGAGCTCGGTAATATTTCGTTCTTGACTCCCTCAAGAAGGCAAACAAGACAAGGTGCAGCCCATGCGTCCCGGGGGCAACTTACGATGGGTCCGTGTGAACCAGGGGGCCCAACCAGGCCAGGAACTCCCGGAGGTCCCTGTGAACGAAAAGCGAAGGGTCAAATGAACAAATGAATATCACGAGAAAGGGTCTCCACTGTTCCCGTCCGTACATTTACCTTATGAGAATCAGTGTTTGGGTAACACTTACGGCAAATCCCCTGTCTCCAGGAAGTCCAATACCACCAACTTCACCCTTCTCACCCTGCGGAACGGGGAAGAAAAAAAAGCCATTCACAAATAAACGAAGGTACGTTTATATTCGCCCCCATTGTTGCCCGTGCGAGTGAACCCAGTGTTTACTTTGCTCTTGCTCCCGCTTATTTAATAAATGGAAGCTTAAACCGCAACCCGTTTTGCGGCGTGCGTGCGTGCACATTAGCGGGTTTACATGGCTGGTTCTGCCAATGATGTCCGGCCCACTTAAGGCTGGGGCATTCACTCCCCTGCTGTCCCCCATCGTCTGGAACTACTTTCCCACAGTCATCTGTGCTGTTGACTCCCTATCCCCGTTCCCAAGTACGGTCTCAATATCTTCTCTCCTCTGCCTGTGACTAACAGCCTCGGTTTAAACATGCCCACTTTTTCTGTATAGCATCTTGCAATTAGGACGCACACCAAGACGCGATGCAGATACCAGTTGTATTGCGATACGAATTCAGTTCGTTTTACATAGCTTTCTAATATAGCTCTCGAATGCGTTTTCAGGTTGCACACATGCGGTGCAATCCCAAAGCACATGAGTTGCGTTGTTATTACTTGCAAGGTCGCGTACGTGTGCGCTCTCTCTCTGTCCGTTGCACGAGGCTTCGCCGCTGCAGCGAGTGATACTTGCCACTGGGTGGCACTGCAAGCCAGGGATTTTTTCATTTGCCCCCCACGCAGCAATGCAAGCGGTTCGGTGGAAAATGGTTTCGGTGATTTCTGGTCACTCACCTTTGGGCCCACGGGGCCAGGAGGTCCGGAGTTTCCTCGTTTCCCCGCCGCACCCTGTGGCACGAAACACGGCACGGAGAGACAGGGCGATAAAGCAAAGGCAAATCTGTACAAATGGTAACGGACCAATTTAAAAAAAAAACTTAACAGCGTTGCAATTTGTGACAGGGTAAGCATATTGAGGCATATCTATATAAAATCAACATTACGTTTTTGACAGCCCAGGAGAATTGATGCGGTAGTTTTCTTTTGAGGCTCCAAAAATGTGGATTATCACACGGAGTTAATGGGACAAAGACACTGGTGCCTATTTATATGCTCAGCTGACAGAATATGATCTACCTTGGTGCGTCTGGATTCGTAATTTACAGCCCTTTGTAACCATACTGCCGGATGAAGGCTTCCCCACGCTGTGTCATTCCTGTTTTATTGTTTGACCATACTTCACCGTTCTGAGTCAGTGCAGATTAGCGAAGAAGGGGAGGTCCACGAGAGCTCAGATATCAATCACCACTGATGGTAACCGTGCCCAGGTATCAAATAAAGGTTGGGACCGATTTATGGTACAGGGCCACGAGCCACTTTTGCCGTCATTCCACCCCACTGATACTGTACTGCACTTTAAATGGATACATTTGAATATTTATATATCTTATTTTTGTATTGCGTAATTAATCTTTATTTGACTACACTGAACGTATTCGGTTTTTTTATTAGATTTTCATGTTTCTTCATATTTGTAGATTAAGTTATTTACAGATATAAAAAAATGTTAGGACATAACATATACGGATATATCTTCAGTGTCAATGTTTTGAAATGTGATTGCATTTAGAAACTATATACATTTAAACTCTATTGCATATTTCAATCTTTTCATGTTAAATCTTTGAAATCTCACCCGTTTTTCACGTGGAATTTACAAGGATGAAGAGAATTATGCAAAAATACGAACACCCTCTAAATCCGAACACAAAAAAAATCAACACTATAAGAGTTAATCTTTCCACGAAAATAAAGCCTTTCAGTGATTCAGCAAGCTTTAACAGGGCCCCTTCACAACTTATTGAAAGAAAATAAAGGGATGCCCTGTGCATTAGTTTCGCTGTTGAGAATCAAACACCCGAATATTCCAGCAGCCTCTGAATCTCAACACTTCATCAAACGCCCATGGACCTAATTGCCTCGAGACCGCAAGCAATCTGTTGGTGGACTGAAGCAACCTCGCAACCAAAGACAGCAGCTGCCCCCCCCCACACCCCCCAAAATAAATAAGCACGCTGTCAAAACATTAGTACTGGCCGGGTTGCAGCAAGGCGTGCTTATAACAGGACGCGTCCTCGGGAAGAAAAAAAAGCAGCCAAAATGAAAAGGACAGGGAGAGGACAGCGTTTCAATCACAGATAAAATATCAAACGTGGGGCTCTCGGCCGCGATAACTCTTGTTGGCAAAAAAAAATTGAAACGTCCATGAGCTGCCAACCGCGTGACGTTTCCAAAGAATCGGGATGTCGCGACTTGCATTTTACCGGCGGTTAAACGGGGCCGTCAGCACCCGGTGCGCAGCGGCCAGGCCAGCGTCTGCTTTTTAAATGCAAATAAACACGACGCTCAAATTTAGAGCCCGGCGTGGGCCTTCACCAAACGTCGGCGATGTGTGTGTGTGTCACTCACCGCCGCTTGGGAAGGTTTTACATTTTTCGTGGGGCGATTGCGACACAATGGATTAATCTGTGTTAGAATGGACGGGGGTGGGGGGGGGCGGTGGAATTGTCGGCGCGCGCACGGACGACACCACGTGGAGGAGTTGACGGATCGCGAAGACTTAGGGGGGGGGGACAAGGGGGGGCGGGTAGGTTTGGGAAGCCATCCCCTGACTTGGGAGACACGGGATGCAAAGCTCAGATAGAAGCGGGGCACGAAATGCTATTTATGATTTCCATTTCACGATGGCAGTGGGCAAAAAAAGAAAAACCGCCCAGGCCAACCCATAACATCTGTTGCAAGAGGAACATCTCCGATTGGATGTTTTTTTGTTGAACCCAAACCCCCCGCCCCCCCCCCCCCCCCCCCCCCCAAAAAAGAGAAGATTACATTTTAAGCAAGAAAAACAACTGTGGAAATGTGTGGTCAGTGATAGAATTGAGACGCAGCGGAAAACCCAATGTAGAGCAGATCAATTCTGCGAAATCCACACCGCCAAATTTCTTTCGCCGTGTATGACATTTCCCATCACATGCTCCGGGAAAAGGGGTTACGTACATTTTCTCCAGGGAGGCCTCGGTCCCCCTTCTCTCCTTTCTCACCTGGCAAGCCCTGTGAGCACACACGTCCGTGCGTATGGACGTGTGCATGAGTGGTGTACATGTAACAAGCATACAGTGGAAATGTGTGTGTGTGTGTTGTTGTTGTTGCGTGCAAGACAATTAATACAAAAAATAATCCCGCAGACATGTTCCAAATGGAGAATCGCGTGCACTTGCACCTTTGTGAGTGTGTGCACGCATCAAAGAGTGCATGGTGATGTGCGTTGCTGCGTGTGTTGCAAAACACAGTTAATAGCAGTCATGCACCTGCTGAGTCGCGCTAGCGCATAGGGTGAAGTGTGTGTGCGTGTGTATGCATTTATTTATTGTGCGAATGTGAACGTGTGCGCATTGTGTGTCTGTGTGTGGTTGAGTGTGTGGGGAGCAGTCGTGTAGCGGTTAGCGCGCTGCGCTACGAACCCGACAACCAGAGTTCAAATCCCACCAGTGAGGATTATCTGAACCGGTATTGGGCCTCACCGAGTTCGACCCAGCCTCAAATGAGTACCTGGCGCAGTGTGTAAACATCGCCACTGGGGAGACAAAGGCGGTCGGGCGTGTTGCTAGCCACCCACCCCCTTATAGCTGCCCACTAACATCACTTGCGCCCAACAGTCTGTTAAGGCTGAACGGGGGGATCTTTGTCTCTGTGTGTGCGCGCGCGTGTGTCGCAAAGCACAATCAATAGCACGGCCGTGTTCCAAACTGAGAATGGCGTGCACTTCACCAACATGCAAATTGCGTAAATTAGATTAAACGCCGGTGTGGAAGAAGTGCATTAATTTCTCGAGGTGGGGGGGGGGGGAGATACGCAGCCAAACGGCGGAGGCGGCGTGTGCTCCATTGGAACGAACTCAACCCACCCCTCCCCCCCGAGATCCCCCCCCCCACCACCACCACCTCCACCGGTGCAAAATATCACTCGGAGGAGCGCGCGAGCCATCACGTTCGCAGGGAGTGACCGCTGAACAACTCCACAAAGCGTGACGAGAGCTTTCAACAGATTATAAGCATCGCAGGCGCTTTGCGACAACAATAATACTACGTCCATAATACAGGGTTTTTTTGGGGGGGGAGGGGGGGGTGGTTTAGATTGTGCAAATATATAAATGTGTCGTTGAAACATGCCACCACCTGACACAGCCAAGCCACAACATTTACAATCTGGTTCTCAGATTGTAAATGTTGTGGCTTGGCTCTCCAACACACCGGTTAGTGCTGTACTAGTGACGAATTGCCCACGTTCTGTTTATGTGACAACCCTTACTAGTTGGCCGTGTCGGGTGGTTGGGGGTTTTAACGACACATTTATACATTTACGCGATCTAACCCAAAAAAACCCCGCTATTATGAATATTGGTCGCGAAAGCCTACGTGCTAATAATAATCCGTTTCGGTTTTTTTTTTACTCCCGCAACGAGTATTCAAATGATTCGGCAGAGTTCATTATTTATCGGGTGCCCACGTGAAAGCGCCCTCGGGCGATGCAATGTTCGGCCTCGTGGAGAACGATCAATCATTTACCTATTTGCGAGCCACGCGACTCATTTTGCTCCCCGCTGAGGAGTAAACATCGAACGCCGCTCCCGGTACATTTTAATAGACGCCCGGCGTCGTCGACAATTGAGAGGAGGAAGTTCAGCAATTCCTGCGGACAAATAAGCTCGGGAATGGGTGGGGGGGGGCTGCTGCTCGCCACTTACCGGAATTCCAGGTTCTTGGACCACAGAGGTTTGAGTGTCCTACGAGCGAATACACAGAAGCGTGACAATACAGAAAAAAATGCTGCGAGTGTTCAGTGTTCAGCACCGACGCGGAAGCGCATTTAATTTTTGGACAACGCGTTTGAAACGGCCACGGCAAAACTCGTGCGGTTCTCACATCGGAGATTTCACATTTACATTGAATGCGCTAACAAAAAAAGAAATAAAAATCCCGCGCGCACGCAAAGTTTTGCTCTCACACAGTAAGATTTATTTTGCTGTGGAGTGCATTGAATCGACTGGCTGCGGAATTCAAGTTTCACCGAGCGGTGGCGTGAGGAATTTATAAGTTTGGGGGACGAACTCACCGTGCCTGGCAATCCGGGAAGGCCCCTTGGTCCAGCGTCGCCCTGAAAATGCAGATTGGCCGCGCACGTGACTCCTCCAGCATGCGCTACGCCTCAACTGAACGAAGTGCATCTATTCCTGTGTCATTTTCAAATGTTGTTTTGTTGTTTTCTTTGTTTTCCACATTTTTTTTCACCGAGCTATCACGAAACGATGGTTCATCAATTCAGTACTCGCTCAGAGGATAGCATGACCTCGTCCACGTAAGAGAATGGCATGCACAAGGAGATATCAAAGAACCTGAGGTCCCTTCAAGTAACCTGTTATTAACGCGGAGGTTTCAGCATATTTAAAACTATACACTAAAACTATAAACTATTCTCATTCTACCAGGTAAGGCCCAATGAGCTATATGGCTCTTTTTCAGAAGTGACCTGGCCACATATGACAGGTCAACAAAGTGGCTTATCATGTGGGAATTTATAGCAGCCGCATACTCTAAACGCATGTTTCTAAATGTGGAGGGGAAAAAGCGGAGGACCCAGAGAATAATCCACGCAACCACAGGGGGGTGGGGGAGGGGAAACATGCAAACTCAAAATATACAGGGGTCGGGATCGAACCAACAATCCTCCTGTATACAAGGCCCCACATATATGAGCTTAAGCCCATGCTGATCATCGGTGAGAGGGCTGAGACCATCAATTTAGTACACTCGAAAACCCCGGTTAACTCGATAGTCACTGAAACTCAAGACTCCAAGCCAGGATCTCCGCGTGGTCGGCTTCGGCTCTGTGCTCTGATCTGAGCGCGGACTTTGTTGGAACAAACCGATCAAGTGGGCACAAACAATTCCAATGGTGTGAAATATTGCAACAACAAAAAAAAACACGCAAATAAAATGCTGTTTTGGCCATTGTGATCCACCAAAAATAAGTTCCTCAACAAACGGTTCATCATGGTCGTGTCCAGAAGACGTGAGAAAAGTTGGTATTTTATACCTTTGGGTGTAAAATAAAATATAAAAAAGTGTAAACCGGGATCGTTGATTTATTGTGGGCAGCATGCAAACATTCACTTTTCTGCACTGAGAAGAATGGCTCCACAGTTTGTGAAGGATCTCGTCTCAAGCTGGGCAATTCAAGAATGTAATTGATCAATTACTCGACTAATTATTATCGGTTCGGTTACTCGACTAATCAGATAGCATTGAAAGAATTGGGGATGGGGGGGGGGCTCTAACTGCTGTTTCCGCGTGTGTCATTGGACAGGTGATGGGCGGGCCGTGGTGATGTCATCGACGTCATCATGCACGTTGAGCTGGGTGTGGCTTGTACGCAGGGGGTTTCCTGCCTTCAGGAGGCAGGAAACCCCCTACGTAAAAGGGCTCAAGTAATGACCGCAAAATAACAGTGGCCGATTACAATTTTCAGCCGATTAATCGACGCAACTGACGAATAGTCTTCACTCTACTTTGATCTAAAACGCAGCGAGATCTAGAAGTGGCATTTAACAGGACACAGTCTGCTGATGAATATAAAAAGTGAAAACCAATGCAGAGTTTCCTTGCTTAATTGAAATCTCTGCTGGAAAAAAAAATATATTGGCCAAGAAGGCCACACAGGCCGTTTGGAACAAAACGTTATTTAATCTTTTATAGTTTTTAGTAAAACAGACAACGTTTCATTGTCTATTTATTATTTCATTCATTTAACGGTTGGTGAGCCATCGACCAAACCTCCGGGAATCTGCCCAATCTCATCAAATCTGGACAGTTGAGGCCGGACAGTGCCCGGATAGTGCTTAGTTGTGTGACCGCCGTGCACAAAGGCAGGTGTAATAGGTGCTGTGGGCGGCAGAGTGCAGCGAAGCAAAATCCATTGCTATCCGGCACTCTCAACGCCTTCACCGACCCGCATTGACCAGCGTGGTGAAGTTTTAGCAAAGTACCTTCACGCCCTGCACGGCGTGGGGGGAAGGCCCTCATCCAGCAGTGGATTGAAAACCCGGCCGTGCATGCACGTGTACATTGGTTGATGCACAGGTTGGCTCTCTTCCCTGTGGCAGGGAAGAGAGCTGATTCTTCGGCCCCAATATGCACTGAGCTGCCTTTGACGGTCACGCTTGACCTTACAATCTTTGACGCTTATGAGACCCAGAAAAAGTGACGTTTATGCAACGTCCGCTTTTGGTGTTTTTCTTCTGAAAACCATTTTTTTGACTTGCAAAATTAAATCGGCTCTGTCTAGGGCAATTAACATATATGCATTTGAATGTCGCTTGGAAGAGTAGACCAAATACCCTTGAGAGGGACTCTATAGAACTTCCATTTAGTGGAGGCCCTTTTGCCAGTAGGCGCGTGAGCAAGCAGTTACAGAAGCTACACCTGTTACCTTCTACAATTGAAGGCAATTACATTGGTCTTCGCAGATTCCCCGTGTTCTTAATTGCAACATCCATTATAATAAGGAGCATCTATTGTCACAACTGCAAGAGCACGTGGGATGTTGTGACATCACACCTCACGCGACTCCACCAATAATGACGCTTTCATTTTCACCGTTGCATATTTAGATTCATTACTTAAACCAGGACACCGATGTGATCAGTCACAGCACATACAGTACATCTCGACGCAGCACACACACCAAATTATTCATTAGTAAACAGTGCCAGCTTCTCAGTGTTCGGTGTTATTGCACGCACGAGCCTCTTGGAGCCTGACTTAAGTACTTTCCACCGCATCGCGCGCTTCGACATGCGCTTCCGCGGCCGTCTGGAACGCTCTTCCTTTTGATATTACGAAGCAACTGGAGCGATGCACTTTAAAATCAACATCGAAAATGAATTCCTTTACAACTACTTTTTGTGTTTAGTTTGTTGTCCTTCCCCCACACCTCCGATTCGCATGGCTTGCTACGCACGGTGCGAAAGAAGTTTAATATACGTACATTAAACGTTTAGCACTAATAATGCCTTATTGAGTTTTGAGTATGAGGTTATTTGATTTCTTATTTGCCTGGATATTTTACAAGGGGGATCCGTGGTGCCAGGGCACAGCAACAACAAAAACAAAAGACAAATCATGATCATCATCATCATATGGCAGAGAATGAGTACAGTGTCCGAAAGGCATATTACACAACGAACAAACAAGGTAGTTGATGGTCATAAACTAAACACGCGTGAATACCTCCCCAAAAAACACAACGCAAATATAAAATGACAGCGAGAGTGGCCAGAAAACGTTAGGTACGGGTGAAAGTAAGCTCTACGTGTTAGTTTTAACAGCGACATCAATACACGTGAATCAAAAATTCCAGTGAAAACATGCAAGTGTTAAGAACAGCATAGCTGCAGGAATTCCCCTTCCAACATTGTGGAGCATGTATCTGTTGGTCAGTGATGCGTAATATTATAATAATATAATCATACTTCTTACATTTATATTGTGCCCGCAACGTAATTAAAGGTCTCGGAGTGTTTATATTAAAACCAACAAAAACCCGTAATGTGTATTGCTTAGTCTAGCGACCTCTTAATGGTAGCTTGTCCCTGTGCAGCCCAAGGTGACTCGCAGCACTGGGGGGCAATGATTGTGACGTGTAATCCCAATTGAGTAATTTTAGAGTTATTTTTTTACGGAAACAAAAAAAATATTTGGTAAATTTGGATTACGGCTATCAAAAGGCAACGACCATAGCCACTGGCGGAGTCAGTTGGGAGGGGGGGGGGTGGCACGTGCCCCCTAATTTCGATCGGATCATTGGGGTTTATTAGTAATAAATCGGCATTTTGCGACCCCCACTCCTACTGTGTAGCATATTATTATGTGCCAGGGACTCTATGAGATGATAGGACAATAGTCTGAGTCCATAATTGGCAATAAGTAACGGCACAGCGGTTATAAGTGACTCAGAATTGTGCGCAGTTGCGTATACAGTAGACGACTTCCCTGAAGGCATCAACACCTTCAGCGAGCGCGATGCCGATCACACAACGCGGTTCGAATTCGACCCTCGATTGATGGCTGCGCCATTGCCGCACACGCGTCAAATAAAAAGCAAGGGACAAGTCCTTACTTACTAACAACTCCTACCTGAATATCTTGGCTCCGTCATTGACCATAACCAGGAATGAAAGTGAGCTTAAGCTCACATACGTGGCGAGATGTTAACTACAACGCCTTGTATGCAGGAGGTCGTGGGTTCTATCCCGACCCTGACGCCCGTGGTCACGTGGATTTTTCTCCGGGTCCTCTAGTTTTTCCCTCCACATTTAGAAACACGCGTTTAGAGTATTTGGCTGCTATGATTTTCCACATGATAAGCCACTTCGTTGAGCTATATCTGACCGGGTCGCTTCTGAAAAAGAGCTAAATAGCTCAGTGGGCCTTACCTGGTAAGATAAAAAAAATAGTTCAAATAGTGAATGTATGTTCAGGCCCGGACGGAAGTGGTTACACATCTTACCGGTTAACACACGTTCTGATGATTGGAATAAAAAAAGAGTAAATTTAACATTTTGGCCAGGTGAATCATGGTCATATTAAGGAATCAAATAACGGGTAATCAAGAAAGCCCTTTTAAAAAATAAGGTTGTTCCATAGCGCACCACGAATAACACAAAAAAGCTAAATGTATACCCTCCTTGTGAATACATGTTCTGGTAAAGGCGCAGCAGTGCAATTATTTGCCTCTATTATTGCTGATAGAAGGGCCTCCACGAGCATCTCGACATTTTACTTTGGTCTCCCTTTCCACGCTGGCTCTGCGTCTTGGAAGAGGTGGGAGCCACCCCACACTTTACTCCCACCACCACCACCACGCGCGGACCTGACGGTCGACTCATCGCTGTGTGCTCATTTACACATTCTGGGTGGACAGAGGTGGCGGGATTTCAAATAGTTTCAACCCACGAATCGAACCGGCGATCTCTAAATTACAAGTCCAATGTGCTTACTGCCCTAACCGTGAACACCACGTCCAAACAGATAAAAACATGAATCGACTCCACAGGGCCGTCACTGAAACATCTGTTGAAGAGTAGACATGACAGATGC